TCTATCTCACTCTAATGGAAGGTGTGTATCCGTACGGTTCCTTTCATTCCATCTCCAGAACTGCACATCTGCTGAACGTGGCACAATTGATCTATCACAATAATGATTAATTAATTGTTAATCTCATCCTCTATAATTGAGGACAGATCTGGAACACCATCAGCTGTGATAATAAAGAGAGCGATACCTCCCGCCCACCTGAGCACATGGAGAAAGGCTTCCTGCTCTGGATCTTTGCGGCCTCGTCAGCAAATGTATTATTTTGCACTGAGCAGTAGTTAACAACGTATAGGTTTGTCAAACCAATTTTATTCTTTTTAAATCTTCATAGCAATTATCTCTTTGCATAATCAGTTCCAGGACCTTAGGGGTCTACTGGGTCTCATAACATCTTTAAAATAATTGTTGAGTGAAGTAATTTTAAGTTTTGTGGAAATTGCTTAATAATCAGATCCCAAAGTCAATATTTGGCTGGGAAACTAACTTGTAGATGGGGAGAACTTCATGTTACTCCAATGAAAAAGGAAATTCAAATGTCACATAAAGTGCCAATCCTACACACCAATGTGCAGTGTATTGAGCTATATACTGTAACTGAGTGAATGTGTTTATTTTTGTTATAAAAATTAAATAATATGTCTGTGAGTGTGTGTGTGTGTCCATGTGTGCAAGTGTGGGTGTGTATGTGACATTAAGTCAGGGCGGCAGGGGGTAGCATGTAGCCTAGCATTTAAGAGCGTTAGCCCAGTAACGGCCCGAAAGGTTGCTGGTTTGAATCCCAGAGCAGACTAGGTGAAAAATATGTTGATGTGCCCTTAAGCAAAGCACTTAACCCTAATTGCTCTGGATAAGAGGGTCTGCTAAATGACTCAAATGCAAGTGTCTAATAGTTGTAGATGATTCCTTTTGTTGATAACATTTGCGATTCAGGCCTACACACAGTGGGATAATAATCAGGTGATGACATCAAAAGTCATATGACATCAAAAACAGCAAAACATTTAATAGTACTAAGGAACTTTGGCAAATACTAAGTATTTTTTAAACCTCCTGCTTTGGGCTGGATGTGTCTCAATGTATAATTCATACATGCATAATCTATGAGCAGAATTTCTGTTTTACCTCAATTAGCCACGAAATCCCCTAGCAATTGAGTTCAACCAATGAGCTTCAGCCCCTCGCCATATGAGTGACAGCTAGCAAGATTCACATGATGCACCCACAGCAGAGCAAGAGAGAGAGAGCAATGACGTGGTGCACATATTTGCACATATGTGATGTAGTATGCAATGCCCGGGGACCACTTTTGGCTTGTGAGAGCTACTTTCAGAATCCCATTAACACGGTAGTGTGCAAACTACATTTGAGAGCTATCATACTAAAACGGAGGGGGGATGGATTTTAGATGTCCCAATTAACCCTTCGCAATGAGATGTATCTGAGTCCTTATTAATGGCGATAATGAGAGAGATAAATTGACAATATGTAAAAACAGTGCTGGTGTATCAATGAGACACCAGTACCAGCACCAGAGCAGAGAACACACACTCAGAGGTATGGTCTGACTAATGAAGCACATGCAGGACCCAGGCAGGATCCCTTTAACAGCAAGGACAAATAAAATAAAATACAGGTCTCACCCACTGTTACCCTTGACTCTTAAAGTATATATGAATCACAACCCTTATTATGGCTTTGACACAGCCACCAGGGTTTCTTTATGAACACTACTTAGGAAGCATCTCATAATGTGCACCGGCTAAACCCAATCATCATCTGTCTTGCGCAATAACAACAAGACAATACTTATGTCATATCATCATTACACTAATAGTAAAAGCCTCAGCTACTCTTAGCCCCACCCAATTAGTCATTTTAAACTGCTTATTGGTGAAAGAGCATCAGAGATCAATTGAAACATTTAGCAGGTGGCTACTCTATGTCATTGCTAACATTTATTATCTATGTGACTCAAATTGGTCTCTAACAATAGCCATTTCACAGAACCTCCTACAGTCCATCAGGGATTTTCAATTATCAAAATGTGACAACAGTACCAGGCAGGCTTGCTTTCTGTATAAGATGATATGCAAAAATACAGTTCCCTTTCATTTGCATATATGCAATGGGATAGGTCTACAGTAGGTTTTGCCACATTTTAAAGGTACCATTCCTACTCAGTTTTGTTATAAGGTTCTACTGAGGAATAAACTAAAAGAAGCCAATATCCATAATTAGTTTTAGATATAGTGATGACAAGACCTAATCATTATTGGACGATTGAGAAACATTTCTAAAGCGATAAAGACATGTTCAATAAGCCAGTGGTGAAAAGTCATCAGACAGAACAAAGGAATTAACCAAATTATTTCATCTCCAAATGCAGATCAACAATTTTCCAAACCTATCACACTTTAATTTGAAGACCACCAAAGAGCTTCTCTGAAATACCATGATGTTTATTAAGGATGATCATTTTGGCCTTGATAATAAATTAAATAAAGACTATTTGGTTGAGTACAGTACAGTGAAATAAACCGCCTGAAACCATTGTGGAATTTCTGAAATCAGAACAATAGTGCATAAGCCTTAATAGAAAAAATCTGTTCAGCCATTTACTGGGTTGAATAACTTCAAGGGTTTTGCGAAGACCCTACGGAGCCTCCCAGAGTCCCAGGTGGGTCCATCGCTTTAAGAAACCCACATATCCTCCCCCACTGAAGACAGAGACAATCCCCAGTGAGACATATACTGTTAGATTCCAAAAAATCTAATTTCCGTCCCCATTCCATATTTCTTTGATTTATTTTCTTTTGTAAGGTTATCTGCAGTCTTCTATTGCAAACATTGATTTCTCTCCTCAAAGTCATCCTGCAGGAGTTTTTCCCTACAGTGTCATTTGACTATCATAGAGGTATTGCATGCAGGTGTCCTTAGACATGTTCAAGGTGTTGAAATAAATTGAGACTTGTTCAATTAGAGAGAGCTGGCATTATTGAGTACTTAATGAGTTGGGCTGGAATACTCCCTAAAGGTATCATAAGGTGGTGTATGTCTACAGGAAAGTAGGACTACTGTAAGTGGATCAGTAAAGGAGATAAGAAAAGATGCCCAGGGCACTGAAAGAGTACTATGGTAATCTCAGTGGTAATGTAAAATTACCCTGTGCATAACTCCTACGAATACTACACACTTAAATATACTTTCCCAATGCGACTTACCTAGATCATTCAAAGTCGGTCAGAAAAGGCTTCTTTGATTTCGTGCTTCATCCCATCTCAAGCAAGGGCCAATTCTCCATGGTGATCCGTGAGGGTTTAACACCTTATCCTGTATGGAAACACTTTAATGTTAGTATTGGAAGCAGAATTCACTAGCCACTTTTTTGCACTAAGTAGCATTTCTTCCTCTGTTAGTTTACTGGTTCATTGATGTCCATAAACAAATGTCAAGCCGGCGGCTTAAAATACGATTCTTAGTCATTCTCTTGGAATAGTAATTTGGAGTAATGCAAATCCATTTGCCAGGTTTATTCAGAGTTAAGGCTCCATATACAGTTCTGCAATTATTCAAACACAAACAAACACTAACTATTGCTCCTCATGTTCATGAAATGTGTGGTTTACACCGTTTATTTACCTGTGAACGATTAATATAGGCTATAGAAGTGACAAAACAGGTGAAGGCATCCAGCCCAATGTAACTAACTTATTGATTTAGGTTGAATATGACATCAGTTCTCCCTTTGTCTTTGTTTCAAGGTGACAGGGAGGCTGGTCTCTTCAACAGACCTGTCTATGACATTTATCCTCCATAGACCTCATTGGACAAGATGCACCTCTGACCCTATGTTCTGTTAACTATGACATTGAGACTGCTGAACATTCCTACAACCCTGGCCATTCAACTGTCTCTATGAAACACCTGTCATCATGACCACATATAACCACTGAGAAAGAGAGATTAAGAAAGAAAAGGAGAGAGGAGGAAGAGAGAGAGAGAGAGAGAGAGAGAGAGAGAGAGAGAGAGAGAGAGAGAGAGAGAGAGAGAGAGAGAGAGAGAGAGAGAGAGAGAGAGAGAGTGTGAGAGTGTGAGAGTAATAAAAATGCATGCTTACTGTTGTAAATAATGTGTGAATCAGTAGGTAAACTGTCATTTAGATGTAATGTAAGTTAGCTGAACTTGATCTCAGACTCAGGCCATCACACAATACAGTAAGGAAAGCTCTAATGGGTGCCATGTCAGCCACTGTGACTTTTCTGTAGTCTCAGGTCCAAAACACATTTCACATTGAGTAGTCTACATTTCAATAAAAGCTAAATTGCGCATATTCACCTGCATGATGTATGATTGACGTAGACCAATGATAGATGAAAACCAGCTGTCACAGTGATAACAAGCCAACTGATGGGGAAGATCACAATAATTACGAATGACATACAATCACATAGCTTGGTCTTAGTGAAATACTAATAGTTACAATCATGTTATATGCTAGCATACTTCAAGAGAATATAAATTACAAATGTGTGTGTTTAAAACATGACAAAAGTCCTCCCTCTAAGTTCTCCTCAAGAGTCATATTTAGGCCTACCATTTGAACAAGGCATTATGCGAACCACGTAGGCAAATTCTCTAGCATCTTAATTTTTCAATTAGCATGCCTCTTGTGCTCTAAACATATGCAAAAACAGCAGGGCATAATTTTAAATGCAACTTTAATGGTGAGTCTAATTAGTGTAAATTGGTAGGCTTGTAAACTCTGAGAAATTTGAATACAGCTCGATATCAATCTATCCTTACATGGATGGTGTATCAATACACCGTATATAGATTTTCTATTGTGTTATTGACTGTACGTTTTGTTTATTCCATATGTAACTCTGTGTTTGTTGTTTTTATCGCACTGCTTTGCTTTATCTTGGCCAGGTCGCAGTTGTAAATGAGAACTTGTTCTCAACTGGCTTACCTGGTTAAATAAAGGTGAAATAAAAATTAAAAAATAAACACCCAATCACTACAAAGATACAGGCGTCTGTCCTAACTCAGATGCCAGAGAGGAAGGAAACCGCTCAGGGATTTCACCATGAGGCCAATGGTGACTTTAAAACAGTTACAGAGTTTAATGGCTGTGATAGGAGAAAACTGAGGATGGATTAAAAACATTGTAATTACTCCACAATACTAACCTAAATGACAGAGTGAAAAGAAGGGAGCCTATACAGAATAAAAAATATTCCAAAACATGCGTCCTGTTTGCAATAGGGCACTAAAGTAAAACTGCAAAAAATGTGGCAAAGAAACGAACTTATGTCCTGAGTACAAAACGTTATGTTTGGGGCAAATCCAACACAACACATCACTGAGCACCACTCTTCATATTTTCAAGCATGGTCGTGGCTGCATCATGTTATGGGTATGCTTGTCATCGGCAAGGACTAGGGAGCTTTTCTTTGGATAAAAATAAATGGAATAGAGCTAAGCACAGGCAAAATCCTAGAGGAAAACCTGGTTCACTCTTCTTTCCAACAGACACTGGGAGACAAATTCACCTTCAACAGGGCAACAACCTAAAACACAAGGCCAAATATACACTACAGTTGCTTACCAAGACGACATTGAATGTTCCTCAGTGGCCTACTTTCAGTTTTGACTTAAACTGTCTTGAAAATGGCTGTCTAGCAATGATCAACAACCAATTTGACAGAGCTTGAAGAATTAAAAAAATAATAATTTGCAAATATTGTACAATCCAGGTGTGCAAAGCTCTTAGAGACTTACCAGAAAGACTCACAGCTGTAATCGCTGCCAAAGGTGATTCTAACATGTATTGACTCAGGGGGTTGAGTGAGGGAAAAAAGTATTTGATCCCCTGCTGATTTTGTACGTTTTCCCACTGACAAAGAAATGATCAGTCTATAATTTTAATGGTAGGTTTATTTGAACAGTGAGAGACAGAATAACAAAAAATCCAGAAAAACGCATGTCAAAAATGTTATAAATGTATTTGCATTTTAATGAGGGAAATAAGTATTTGACCCCTCTGTAAAACATGACTTAGTACTTGGTGGCAAAACCCTTGTTGGCAATCACAGAGGTCAGACGTTTCTTGTAGTTGGCCACCAGGTTTGCACACATCTCAGGAGGGATTCTGTTCCACTCCTCTTTGCAGATCTTCTCAAGTCATTAAGGTTTCGAGGCTGATGTTTGGCAACTCGAACCTTCAGCTCCCGCCACAGATTTTCTATGGGATTAAGGTCTGGAGACTGGCTAGGCCACTCCAGGACCTTAATGTGCTTCTTCTTGAGCCACTCCTTTGTTGCCTTGGCCGTGTGTTTTGGGTCATTGTCATGCTGGAATACCCATCCACGACCCATTTTCAATGCCCTGGCTGAGGGAAGGAGGTTCTCACCCAAGATTTGACGGTACATGGCCCTATCCATCGTCCCTTTGATGCGGTGAAGTTGTCCTGTCCCCTTAGCAGAAAAACACCCCCAAAGCATAATGTTTCCACCTCCATGTTTGACGGTGGGGATGGTGTTCTTTGGGTCATAGGCAGCATTCCTCCTCCTCCAAACACAGCGAGTTGAGTTGATGCCAAAGACCTCGATTTTGGTCTCATCTGACCACAACACTTTCACCCAGTTCTCCTCTGAATCATTTGGATGTTCATTGGCAAACTTCAGACGGCCCTGTATATGTGCTTTCTTGAGCAGGGGGACCTTGCGGGCGCTGCAGGATTTCAGTCCTTCACGGCGTAGTGTGTTACCAATTGTTTTCTTGGTGACTATGGTCCCAGCTGCCTTGATATCATTGACAAGATCCTCCCGTGTAGTTCTGGGCTGATTCCTCACCGTTCTCATGATCATTGCAACTCCACAAGGTGAGATCTTGCATGGAGCCCCAGGCCGAGGGAGATTGACAGTTATTTTGTGTTTCTTCCATTTGCGAATAATCGCACCAACTGTTGTCACCTTCTCACCAAGCTGCTTGGTGATGGTCTTGTAGCCCATTCCAGCCTTGTGTAGGTCTACAATCTTGTCCCTGACATCCTTGGAGAGCTCTTTGGTCTTGGCCATGGTGGAGAGTTTGGAATCTGATTGATTGATTGCTTCTGTGGACAGGTGTCTTTTATACAGGTAACAAGATGAGATTAGGAGCACTCCCTTTAAAAGTGTGCTCCTAATCTCAGCTCGTTACCTGTATTAAAGACACCTGGGAGCCAGAAATCTTTCTGATTGAGAGGGGGTCAAATACTAATTTCCCTCATTAAAATGCAAATCAATTTCTAACATTTTTGACATGCATTTTTCTGGATTTTTTGTTGTTGTTATTATGTCTCTCATTGTTCAAATAAACCTACCATTAAAATTTTAGACTGATCATTTCTTTGTCAGTGGGCAAACGTACAAAATCAGCAGGGGATCAAATACTTTTTTCCCTCTGTATTATTGTTGTATTTTTCTTAATCTTTTTCTTAAATTTTTTACAAATGGTTGAATTTCTCTTACACTTTGACATTACAGAGTATTGTGTGTAGATCATTGAGAAAAAATTACAATTAAATCCATTGTAATCCCACCTTGTCACACAACAAAATGTGGAAAAGGTCAAGGGGTGTGAACACTTTCTGAAGGCCCTGTATCTTCATTTACTCCCATGTACACAGACTTGCAGGTGCAGCAAAATGCTTGTGTTCCAACTCCAACAGTGCAGTAATACCTAGTAATACAAAACAATACACACACACGTGTATGTATGTGTGTCTTTCGGAGGGGTTGGGTTAAAAGCGGAACTCAAATTTCGTTTGGACTTTGTGTGCAATTGACCAATAACGTAATCTTAACTAAGAGTTTTTGCTAGATAGTTATAGCTTTTCTTATTTTTTTCTGCATCCATCTGTATATTCAAGTCAACTGCCTACCACTGATTACCTTGCTGTAAATCAGTGCGGTTCAATTCCGGTCCTGGAGGGACAAAACACTTCTGTTTTTTTTAATTGCACTCACCTGGTGTCCCAGGTCTGAATTAGTCCCTGATTAGAAGTAGACAGGGCCGATTCCAGGCATAAGCGACAGAAGCGGTCGCTTAGGGCCCCTGGCCACTAGAGGGCTCCCCCCCCAAAAATAAAAAAAATAAAAGGAACTCAGTTGGGGTCTCAACTTACTATTGAGAGTAAGAATAGTAGAAATCTTGTTGTGCATCAGCAGTTTTTCTCTTGCTATGTCAGTCACTGACAGTCACTCAATTAGCCATGTCAGCTAACAATTTTTAGATTGGTAGTTAGTCTAGCCAGCTATCTAAACTTGTAGTAATCATGGCCGAACACCGACCGAGCACACAGGGCACGCGCCCAGGGGCCCCAACCTCCAGGGGGCACCCATTCATTTTGTTAGTCATTCTCACTCAGATATCATATTAACATGGCATAAGTCATTACAAAATGTGCAGAATTGCAGGAAATTAGCTTTAAAACGGCAAAAATGTCTCTCCACACCATGGCAAATTGGGTAGAATTGCAGAAAACTTGCTTTAAAGGTCCAATGCAACCGTTTTTATCTCATTCTCAAATCTGGGTAACAATTAAGTACCTTACTGTGATTGTTTTAATTTTGCTATGATTGTCTGGGAGTGGTCTCAGTTGGGAGGGGAACACTGAAAATTAGCTGCTATTGGCAGAGAGGTTTGGAACTCTCTCTCTTATTGGTCTATTAACAAATTTAATGCATGGTGATGTCACCATGGAAGGCCACAACTCCATCCCACCAAAATAGGCTGAAATTTCAGGCGGCCTTTTCAAACAGCTCTTACACTAAATGGGCATTATCATCATGTTTACAATTTCACAGTATTATTCCAACCTCATAGTGTGGATATATATATACTGAACAAAAATATAAAGGCAACACGTAAAGTGTTGGTCCCATGTTTCATGAGCTGAAATAAAAGATCCCAGAAATGTTCCAAATTTCATTACATTCCTGTTAGCGAGCATTTCTCCTTCGCCAAGATAATCCATCCACCTGACAGGTGTGACATATCAAGAAGCTGATTAAATAGCATGATCATTACACAGGTGCACCTTGTGCTGGGGACAATAAAAGGCCACTATAAAATGTGCAGTTTTGTCACACAACAGAATGCCACAATTGGCATGCTGACTGCAGGAATGTCCACCAGAGCTGATGCCAGAGTATTGAATGTTTATTTCTCTACCATAAGCCACCTCCAACGTTGTTTTAGAGAATTTGGCAGTACGTCCAACCGGCCTCACAACTGCAGACCACGTGTAACCACGCCAGCCCAGAAACTCCACATCCGGCTTCTTCACCTGCGGAATCGTCTGAGAGCAGGCACCCGGACAGCTGATGAAACTGTGGGTTTGCACAACCGAATAATTTCTGCACAAACGCTCAGAAACCGTCTCAGGGAAGCTCATCTGCTTGCTCGTCGTCCTCACCAGGGTCTTGACCTGACTGCAGTTCAGCGTCGTAACTGACTTCAGTGGGCAAATGCTCACCTTCGATGGCCACTGGCATGATGGAGAAGTGTGCTCTTCACGGATGAATCCCGGTTTCAACTGTACCGGGCAGATGGCAGACAGCGTGTATGCCTTCGTGTGGGCGAGCGGTTTGCTGATGTCAACGTTGTGAACACAGTGCCCCATGGTGGCGGTGGGGTTATGGTATGGGGAGGCATAAGCTACGGACAACGAACATAATTGCATTTTATCGATGGCAATTTGAATGCACAGAGATACCGTGATGAGATCCTGAGGCCCATTGTCGTGCCATTCATCCACTGCCATCACCTCATGTTTCAGCATGATTATGCATGGCCCCATGTCGCAAGGATCTGTACACAATTCCTGGAAGCTGAAAATGTCCAAGTTCTTCCATGGTCTGCATACTCACCAGACATGTCACCCATTGAGCATGTTTGGGATGCTCTTCATCGACGTATACGACAGCGTTCTAGACAATATTCAGCAACTTCTCACAGCCATTGAAGAGGAGTGGGACAACATTCCATAGGCCACAGTCAACAGCCTGATCAACTCTATGTGAAAGAGATGTGTCGCGCTGCATGAGGCAAATTTACATTTACATTTTAGTCATTTAGCAGACGCTCTTATCCAGAGCGACTTACAGTTAGTGAATACATTTTTTTTTTTTTTTTTTTTTTTTTTTTTTTTATACTGCTCCCCCGTGGGAATCGAACCCACAACCCTGGCGTTGCAAACGCCATGCTCTATCAACTGAGCCACATCCCTGCCGGCCATTCCCTCCCCTACCCTGGACGACGCTGGGCCAATTGTGCGCCGCCCATGAGTCTCCCGGTCACGGCCGGCTGCGACAGAGCCTGGATTCGAACCAGGATCTCTAGTGGCACAGTTAGCACTGCGATGCAGTGCCTTAGACCACTGCGCCACTCAGGAGTTATGGTGGTCACACCAGATACTGACTGGTTTTCTGATCCATGCTCCTACCTTTTTTAAGGTTTCTGTGACAATAGGATGCATGTATGTATTCCCAGTCATGTGAAATCCATAGATTAGGGCCTAATAGGGCTCAATTGACTCATTTCCTTATATGAACTGTAACTCAGTAAAATCTTTGAAATTGTTGCACGTTGCATTGATGTTTTTGTTCAGTGTAGAAAACACTGGACCTTTAAAATGGCCACATTGTCTCTATATCCCATGGCAAAATGTGTAGAATTGCAGGAAATGAATTTTCTCTCCACCATCAAGAGGACAAGAGGAGGCCCACTCAAGGTGGTGCCCCCCCCCCGCAACCAAATCTCGCTTAGGGCCCCCAAAAGGCTAGAGCTGGCCCTAGAAGTAGAGGATGAAAAACATAAGTGTTTTGGCCTTTCAGGACCGGAATTCAACAGCCCTGCTGTAAATGAAACACCTGACTTGGTCTGAAATAAGACTGTTGTCCTTCCTGCCATCTCCTGGGGCCATGAGACACGTTACTTTCTCACACACTGATAGGCTACTCACAGTATTGTCTCTGAGTCTGGTTTCAGAAAGTATTTATTCAATTAGCTGTATATTCGTTCAATAGTAAAATTGTCATACTCACAAAATAAATAAAAAAATTCCATACGCAGAGAGGTTGCTATAAGCCTTTCGCAAACGTCATCATAATGATAGGGTGGGTCTGGGTCATGCCAAATGGAACTTGCGCGAGGGATTGCACGAGTGCATGATGGGCGTATGATGATCCCGGAGAATTCGGTCCACAATGAGCCTTCCATCTGCTGACAGTTTCCACAGGTACAGTACGCTGCATTTCTATTCATTCACACAATGAATTGGTTTGATGCAGGAAACTATTGATTGACATTTGATGCTTGATTGCCTTCCTATTCTACCTCTTATCTCGAGGATGAGCAGAGGGGTTGTGATCTTAGAGACAGACAATGCATTAACAGTTTATTTAACTTGTATAAATGTTTGCATTATGCCTTTGAACTCTTGATTGTTTCAATGCATGAATATGTATCCAAAACTGTAATTTGATGTTTTTGACAGATGATCAATCAATTCTGTGTTATTAATACATCCTATATTTGATTTATGCAGCAATGGATCAGATGGCAGACCAGAAAACCAGAACAGATGAAGAATGTGGAAAAGAAATGGAAAGGAAAGGTGGAAAGAAATGCTCTTTGGTAAGAGATGGTAAGTTTTCTAAAAGAAATTCACTTTACCTTATTGAAAAAAAAAACTAAAAGCAATGTTCTCAATGTCAAATATCAGATATTTTTGATTATTTACATACATAACTATTATGGCAGAGTTGATACAATACAGCCAAGTGAACACACTACTCAACCTGGTCTCAGAGCATTTTGTATTATTCTGTATGTAAATCCGAAACACTCCATTTAGTATGATATGTTACGAATTACAATTCATACAATATGTTACGAATTTGCCAAACGTATATGATATGTTATGAATTCTAGCTAGGTGGCTAACGTTAGCTAGGCTAGGGGTTAAGTTTAGGGTTAAGTTTAGGAGTTAGGTTAAAGGGTTAAGGTTAGGGTTGGGGAAGGGGAAGGGTTAGCTAAAATGGTTAAAGTTAGGGTTAGGGGAAGGGTTAGCTAACATACTAAGTAGTTGCAAAGTAGCTAAAAAGTAATAAGTAGTTGAAAAGTTGTTAATTAGCTAAAATGCTAAAGTTGTCCATAATGAGTTTCGAACTCGCAACCTTTGAGTTGCTAGATGTTCGCATTATACACCTACCCATCCACCCGTCTAACCACCTTACTTTCATTTTTGCCTTAAGTAATCATCTGTTTTATCTAACCATACCAAACGTAAGATATACTCATTTGAGTGTCCCGAATTTACCTTTACTATCTTCCATCTAGTCTATGAGACCAGGCTGCACTACTACATACACTATATATATAAAAGCATGTGGACACCCTTTCAAATTAGTGGATTCGGCTATTTCAGCCACACCCATTGATGACAGGTGTATAAAATCGAGCACACAGCCATGCAATCTCCATAGACAAACATTGGAAGTAGAATGGTCTTACTGAAGAGCTCAGTGACTTTCAACATGGCACCGTCATAGGATGCCACCTTTCTAACAAGTCAGTTCGTAAAATGTCTGCTCTCCTAGAGCTTCCCTGGTCAACTGTAAGTGCTGTTATTGTGAAGTGGAAATGTCTAGAAGCAACAACGGCTTAGCCATGAAGTGGTAGGTCACACAAGCTCACAGAATTGGACCGCAGTCTGCTCAAGCGCGTTGCGTGTGAAAATCGTCTGTCCTCGGTTGCAACATTCACTACCGAGTTCCAAACTGCCTCTGGAAGCAACGTCAGCACAATAATTGTTTGTCAGAGGACTTCATGAAATGGGTTTCCATGGCCGAGCAGCTTCACACAAGCCTAAGATCACCATGCGCAATGCCAAGCATTGGCTGAAATGGTGTAAAGCTTGCCGCCATTGGACTCTGGAGCAGTGGAAACACGTTCTCTGGAGTGATGAATCACGCTTCACTATCTGGCAGTCCGACGGACGAATCTGGGTTTGGCGGATGCTAGAAGAACGCTATCTGCCCCAATGCATAGTGCCAACTGTAAAGTTTGGTGGAGGAGGAATAATGGTCTGGGGCTGTTTTTCATGGTTAGGGCTAGGCCCCTTAGTTCCAGTGAAGGGAAATCTTAATGCTACATCATACATTGACATTCTAGACGATTCTGTGCTTCCAACTTTGTGGCAAAAGTTTGGGGAAGACGCTTTCCTGTTTCAGCATAACAATGCCCCCATGCACAAAGCGAGGTCCATACAGAATTGGTTTGTCGAGATCGGTGTGGAAGAACTTGACTGGCCTGCAAAGAGCCCTGACCTCAACCCTATCGAACATCTTTGGGATGAATTGGAACGCCGACTGCGAGCCAAGCCTAATCGCCCAACATCAGCACCCGACCTCACTAATGCTCTTGTGGTTGAATGGAAGCAAGTCCCCGCAGCAATGTTCCAACATCTAGCGGAAAGCCTTCCCAGAAGAGTGGAGGCTGTTAAGGGGGGACCAACTCCATATTAATGCCCATGATTTTGGAATGAGATGTTCGACAAGCATTTGTCCACATACTTTTGGACATGTAGTGTAGCTAGTGCCATCCAAACTTGAAAAACTTGAAAAAAGCTTTGTGATTCCTAGTGAGTGAAAGAGGCATTGTAGAAAGTGTAGCATGGAGGTAACAGTTAAAACATGTATCTCATGCCTGCAGGCCTTATTTCTCTATTAGCTAATGGGCACAGACCAGCTGCAGTAGTTACCTCATTTATTAGCTTACCCAGGGGCGTCTCAATGATTTCCAGCACTGGTACGCGGCAGAATTAATTGATTCTATAACTCCATGCATATTTCTACTGTATCTCCTTTTGACTATTTAGTGTATTCCTGTTTGGAAAATGTGTCCAACATGTTAATAAATCATAGGACATTAAATGTTAAATAAAAGGGAGACAAAATGCATGGTAAATAAGTAATTTAGAATAGGTGGTAGAAAAATAAACAGGGTAGAGCAGCCAAAGCAATCATTCATTAATAAGCATTGAAATTGGTCTGTGAAAAGCAGATTAATCAACTATTATGTTCCCTGTAAAACTGGAGATACAATTGATGGAGGGCATCAGAATCAAAGTGAAATATATCAATACTGGGATATACAACACTGCTGCTTAGCTCTCAGAATAAATAAGTTGTGCACATTGAACAAGTTACAAATAAACACTTCCTACCACTTCTGGAAAATATAGACATACAGAAGAAAAAAAATTCAAAGCAATGTTAGAACTAATAGTGTTCAACCCCAACCCCATAATTAAATAATGAAGGTGATCCTAGTTTGCACACTACAAGGTACTGAAATTATACTGAATTACGTAGACTACCGCACATCTCTATCACAAGATAGAGTGGCACCAAACTGTAGAGTGTCACCTGCTAAAGCCCCTAACAGCTGGAGGTGCATCACTGTGTAGATTTATGCTGTGGAAACTAGGCTGCAATAGAGGATAGCTTAAAACCAAGCCCAGATGTTATTCTGTGCTGGGGAATGGACAGTTGTCAAGTTCAAGGGAGGTTATTCAATCTAAACTCTTTATAACAGTTTTCAATCAATAATTTCCCCCACTGGATAGCTACATTGCTTTTCAGCGTATTCTGCTTCCCGGTTAAGTATTTTGTGAATGACAGTTTATTTTTATGGAAACGGACAGGGGCGCAACTTTCACTGGGGACGGGGGGGCATGTCCCCCCCCCCCCCCCCCCCCCCCACACACACACATTCTGAAATGATTTCCTGTTTGATAGGGGAGGTTCTGAGCGAGGCCCCAGTCAGTGTCCGGAAGCTGAGCGTCATTCCAGAGAACGAGACAGATCCAGGGAAGGCCGACACAGACCAGGCCTCCCATGATCCTCAGCGGCCCAGGGAGAAGGACAGCTCCACTTCCTCTCTGTTCACTGTGAACAAGTACCGCAGGAACTCCTCCTCATCAGACTCTCTCTCCACCTCCTCTAATCAGACCGACACAGGAGGTAAGTCACACAAGCTGCATTCACACCAGCCTCATGATTGAACTATTATAATGTTCTAATACACTCCACAGTCCAAGTGACAAAGACAAAGTTCCCTAACACTGGTCTCTGTTTCATGGCAATTGTCTTCTATAAACAGGTAGTCAGGACATTAGCAATAGGATGTGCAGTAGCTCAAGTCAAAGCTGTATACACAATTCACATCCTCTATGGTCAAGCCACAGACCTACTGGTTGATGTTTGTAAACCACTACTTAGTAAGAATGTAAAATGCGACCTATTACTAGCTTCATATTTTACTCTGCTGTAAGCATGTTTAAATGCATTTTTATTATAAGTTATTAAAATGTGTGAATAATTCAGATACAGAAACGACAGTAGAAGAAAATCCTATAATGTAAAAACTGGTCACAGCAGTGGAAACACTTTCACTTAATGCAACACAATTGATTGCATATGTACTTGAATTATTAAAAACATGGATCAGTAAAATTGCAATGCACTGATTAGATACATATTTATTAAGCAATTGATTCAAAATTATGTTTCACTACATAGTTGTAGAGATGTTGGTGTATGGGATAGATTATGAAAGTTAGCCTTTTATTTGTTTGTTTACTGAGTGTATTTGGACACTTATCCAAAAAGCCTGGCATAAGTTGCATAGCTAGTTATACTGCACTTGTGTGTTGCAAAGCTCTTTATATTATAGCATTATCTCCATATTCTAACTGATTAACAGTTATAAAGACCAACTCCCAACATATTTCTCAGCAACAACCCACATTATTGCTGTCTCTTCATGGTCATCATTTTAGCCCAGTGACCTCATGTTTAATGGCACCCAGGGGGGCAAACATTTTTGCCAAGGGTGCTGGGAAGACCCACAGCACATTGTTTCAGAGTAGCCACGGTGCAACTTTAGAATATTCCTAGTGAAAGACCCATAGAGGCTGACGGTAATTGATTATGTCTCCAAACAGCTTCCTCAGTTGTCTCCCTGTAAGGGAGTGAGAGGTGATTTGCTAAATTATGCATGTATAAAGGAATGCCCAGGGAGAGCGTGGAAGCTTTTAAAATGTTCTAAACAATAAGTGAGGACAGACAGCATGCAGGTCTTTTAGGAGCACAGATAATCTATGTCCTGAAGACAAATCCCAAGGTATAGTGGCTGGCCGTTGGAAGCATTTATTACAGTGCAGACTTTTAAATGGGTCACAGTTATGGATTGTCCAGGCTGCCATTTTTGTTTTAGGAGATAACATTTTCCTGTCACATTTTTTGGAATATAATGTCCTTAAATAGACATGTTCATTCATTCATAGTATGTCCTAATTTCACTTATTAATTAAATAAAAAAGTAACAACTTATAAAGTAAGAGGGTTCAGCATTATCTATGTAATGTTGTACTAGAATCTGATCATTCCTAATGTTCTCCCATGTTTTTCCCTCTGCCTCTCAGCTGACTGTGCAGGGATTGTCCTGGACTGCCTCTTCTGTAGGTTCTACGATCTGTTCCTCATGTTGCCAGCCTCATGTGACGAAGCCACCTATTGCTGCTGCCCTTCCTACAGACAGTACTCCTCCTCAGTGGAGGCCATACCTAGCAACGACTGCAACTGTAACTTGGACTTTGACTGTGGCCTGTTTGACACCTGTCAAGAGACAGGTGAGTTTCTGGAGCTGGCTATGGAGCTTTCTGAGATATGTTACCGCTAGGTATCACTAACGTTATGGGCTGAAGAACAAGGAGGCTACGCTAGGGCTAACCTGCAGTAAAGCACAGCATATGTTCAACAAATAGGCCTAAGAATATACTGCTAACATGGGGACCTGGACTGATGTTGATCAGGGAATTTACAAGGCTTTAACAATCAGCCACACCCTGCAGAATGGCTGACTTCAACCTCTATGAACAAAATAAATAATCATTTTCATCATGGGCTTGCATTCACTGAAGGATGGTAGAGGGGTCAAACCATGACCTTTACTAGTTACCTTGTATCAGCACGTATAGATGTTATGTCATGTGCCTGACTCGGACATTGACCTAGCTTGTTGCATGTGAAGTATTGTATGTGTTAGCAAAGCTAAGATGTGCTGAGGTCCTAACTGCTGAGAACAGTGAGGTACACAGTGGGCAATGCCTGCTCTGAGAGTTGTGGATTCCACCACTGAAGTGTTGTACACCAACATACACTTCAGCATGTCACTTCCTTTTCCTTTTTTTCTGAAATACAAACAAATCTTAAAGCCTTCCATGTTCACAGGTCTATTTCAATTTAGTGTCATTGTTACCACAGAAGCAGTTGGAGATGGCATGTCTAGGACACTCGTCCGTGTAGTTCCCATCGACCTCTGTTCTCTGTTCGTGAAGATGGTTCTCTCAAGTGGCGGCTGACTGTTTGGATCGCTTCAATCTGAAATGGGTCCTTGTCAAATAATAGGAAATGGACACTGGAGTATTGGTGGGTACGTCACTCTCTCTGGGTAGAGTACCCAGCGAAAGCAGCATGAAGTAATGCATCATCTGTTTCTCTGGGAGGTCAGGCAGAGAGGGCCCGTGTACAGTGACTCTTCACCACCATGCACACAGAGGGTTATTATATTTCTCTACTCGCTAAACATTTATTTTCTGTTATCAGATGTGAGGACCAACAGAATAATCCTGCTGTTCAAACAAGAAGAAAGTCACACCCATGTTGTCGTAGACACTGAGCTCATGTAATGCTGTTGTATTGTTTGCTGAGAGTTACCAAGTTATACTAGTTTATGTGAAAATGCATATGGATAGTATTTGTGAAAACACGTAAGCTTTCGATTGTGAAAGTTAGGCTAAACTATTATACGAAAACTGGATCTTGACGTTTTAAGAAGACTTAACCACAGTATGCTAAATTAAATTGGTGACACTCCTCCCTAGACCGCAGTACAGTAGAACAAACAGTAATACTGTATGTAGACACCTAATGACCATGGATAGTAAGCATGCTGTGCAAAATGGTATGTTTCTGGTCATGTGGACAGGGAACGCTGCTTGTGACCAATTAGCTTATTACCTGACTACTCTAGCTGATGCGGCACCATAGAATCTATTGAAGGTCCTTTGTGGGTTTTCAAACATAAAGTGTGTCTGCATAAACAGAGGCCTGGCTTAAACTGAAAACATCTGCCCGTCTTAAACTCGCTGGAACTCTTTCAAATTACCTGATAGCCTGGGGAGTAGCATGGGTTTCAGGATCTCTAATGCTTTTTAATCACATCCAAATGGCCTGTCCTATAGAGCCCGGTTCACAGGATGTCCCAGCTAGATGTCCCAGCTCAGTCCAGCAGGAGAGGAGGTCAAGAGGCTGTCATTGCTTTGTTCTGTACCACGTGCATGCGGTCAAATGGCTGCTTACAGAATAGTGTTGACCCGTTATCTTGCACATCTCACCACTGTTCACAGCTGAACTCAAAATATGTGTGCAAAGAGTGTAATCTTTTAACATCTGCTTTGTTATTATGGTTATATAATGATGTGCTGATATAATTCTCCATGATTGTGTTTAGTGATGCTAGACTTGCATTAACTAAAGTTGATCTTATTATATGCTGTGTTAGCTGGCATGTTGACATGCATCTCTACTCTCTAATCGGATGTGAGTTTTTCTTTGGAGTTTGAGGCACCAATCGCTTTATTAGCGTGATGCAGGCTCTTCCTCCAGAGCACACAGCCCTAATGCAAACTTCCCTCAGACCCTCTCACACAGCCCTAATGCAACCTCCCCTCAGACCCTCTCACACAGCCCTAATACAACCTCCCCTCAGACCCTCTCACACAGCCCTAATGCAACCTCCCCTCAGACCCTCTCACACAGCCCTAATGCAACCTCCCCTCAGACCCTCTCACACAGCCCTAATACAACCTCCCCTCAGACCCTCTCACACAGCCCTAATACAACCTCCCCTCAGACCCTCTCACACAGCCCTAATACAACCTCCCCTCAGACCCTCTCACACAGCCCTAATACAACCTCCCCTCAGACCCTCTCACACAGCCCTAATGCAACCTCCCCTCAGACCCTCTCACACAGCCCTAATACAACCTCCCCTCAGACCCTCTCACACAGCCCTAATGCAACCTCCCCTCAGACCCTCTCACACAGCCCTAATACAACCTCCCCTCAGACCCTCTCACACAGCCCTAATACAACCTCCCCTCTGACCCTCTCACACAGCCCTAATACAACCTCCCCTCAGACCCTCTCACACAGCCCTAATACAACCTCCCCTCAGACCCTCTCACACAGCCCTAATACAACCTCCCCTCAGACCCTCTCACACAGCCCTAATGCAACCTCCCCTCAGACCCTCTCACACAGCCCTAATGCAACCTCCCCTCAGACCCTCTCACACAGCCCTAATACAACCTCCCCTCAGACGCTCTCACACAGCCCTAATACAACCTCCCCTCAGACCCTCTCACACAGCCCTAATACAACCCAGAGTGGCCTACTGAGGAACAGCAACATTAAATATTAACATCATGTGTTTAGTCGGTTTTTATTTCAAACAGCAGGTTTGTCAGCATCTTATGTACTGTTCCTCAAGATTCAGCCTGTGTGGAGATGTGTTCCCTGGAGATGTGTTCCCTGGAGATGTGTTCCCTGGAGATGTGTTCCCTGGAGATGTGTTCCTTCCAATGGCTTTATGTAGCACGGTGCCTTTGGAATAATTTAGGCATGTTTTTCTTATGTTCTTTCTGTGTTCATATTGACAACATTTTCACTGTAATTATTTTAAACAAATGGAGCATTATAAGTGAATTTAGGTAATGCTTACTGTATCTTGAAGTGCAAAATGTAGCCGTCGGAGAAGTGAAGAATGTTTGGGTGTGTTAGGTGGGAATGCGTCATTGCTGACACAAATGTTGATGCATGTGTTTCTCATAAGGCCCTGTAATTCCTCTGTCAAATCTTTCTTTATTTTTATATCCCAAATTACACTCATATTGAAGAATGCACACTCCTTATTTTCCATAACTGCTGTGCTTCAAGGAAAAGTCATTGTACATGAGCACAGAATGATTATAGGAACATGTAAAAACATCTCATTTTTGGGATTGTACTTTTGCTATTGTCCCAGTTTAGTTTACATGTCTGATTTCACTATTACTCCTTTAAATGAACTTGACCTTACTCTTTGAGGAATGGCATGTGAGTTCTATGTGCATCCTACCCAATTAGGCCAGAGGCACTGGAGCAGTAGAAACTAGCACTCCCACAGCATCCTCCAGGATTTGAGCCTGACACTACTGCCTTTCTTGAATCTATATTTGGGCCATATGTGTGGATCTGTGTCACTCAAGAGCACAGGCCCAATCTACAGTCGAGAAGGTAGAGTGAGCTCTGGGCCTGTGGGTGCCAAGGCACAAAGGGAGCTCCCTCCCAGCAGGAACAGTTGTACCAACCAGGCCCTGGGCAGGCTTTTATGATACCTTTCGATCAGCAGCTGATTCCCATTTGAAATGACAGGTGATTTGACTCAGCCTCCAATTAATGGCCTCATTTTAACAATTAAGAGCAGGAGGAAGGGAAAATCTCATGTACTGACTACTGAATGAAGGCTGGAGGCATAGTGATGATCGCCTGATAGTGGAAGAACACTGCTGTCTCATCATCATCACAGTCTCCCTCACCGAACGTAACTGATGCCCATGGTATCCTCCCAGGTTGGGTGGCCCGAAAACTCCACCAGGTGTTGTCCCATACTATAGGTGGGGCCCAGACCTCTGTGAGGGGTGGGTAAGGGGAATGGAGGAGGGGTAGGGAGGGAAGTTGAGTTGAGTTTAGTCTAGGGTGGGGTGGGGGGGGCAAACATGGCAGGGGATGATGGACTGCATCAAGCTTGCCATGGCCCCCCTCCCCTCCCCTCCCCTCCTGCCTCCACCCCCCACAGCGTAGATGAAATTAAAGAGCTGTGTAGCAGAAGAAGGAGGGGGGAGGAGGGGGTGATTTAGAGTGTGGCGCAGGGGGATGGGGACCCGGCGCATTGGAGTTAATTACTGAATAATGAGGAACAATTTATTGTGTTCTTGTTAGAGACATCAAAACGCTGGACGCTGCCTACAGAAAAAGAGCATGCCTCTCTCTTTATACGTCTCACTAAATGCAGTATTTAACTTGGAGTCATTAAAAAGTCACTGCCTTGCCTCGTTCCAGTCAGCAGGGGAGAGCAGCTTCCCAGGGCTTATGAAGGAACAGCTAACACTGTCCTAACACCAGGTACCTCCTAAGTGCCTGTCCTCTGGAGAATGTATTCAAATAAATAATGAGAATTGCATTAGCTGCAGATCGATCTCTCCCGTATCTTCCAGGCTTCTACTGATGAGCATGGCATAACTCCTCCTATTCACCTTTCAACCCCTGTAAATCTACACAGGCCAACTGTAAAAGGGCTTGTCATTCCCCTCAGGGAATGTGCCTCTTGTCATGTTCATGACTGTTACGGAATCCAGATGCCTGTGGTTTTAAGTTGAAACATGTCATGGAGCAGTTTTAGACATACTGTCATCCAGTTCTGAAGAAAAAATGAATCATCAAAAACTTTTGAGTATAGCTGCTACTGTACATTGAAATCACATCTTCCACCATATCTTCAGTACAGTATATCATACTAATTAGAAGACAAGCTAGCTTTTACATGGTTATCCGATTTGCACAGAGCATTATACATGCACCTTTATGATGTATCCTATTGAGCAGAGGTTCCTAACTCCGGTCCTCCAGTACCCTCAACAGTACACATTTTGGTTGAAGCCCCAGACAAACACACCTCATTCAACTTGTCAAGGGGTGGATGATTAGTTGACAAGTAGAATCAGGTGTGCTTGTCCGTGGGCCACAACAGAAATGTGTACTGTTGGGGGTACTCGAGGACAAGAGTTGGGAACCACTGGTATAGAGGGAGGCAAATGCGGTGTCCGATGTGGTGCGTGAAGCAGAGATACTCTTTGATGTGTTAAATATGAGATCTGACCACAGAACAAAGCAGCTGTCAGACACAGACTGATGTCAGAGGCAATCCACATCGATTATTATTGGGTATCTGTCATGCATGATACAGAGGCTCCAATGCTACTGAGGTATGCCTAAGGCAGGGTTTCCCAAACTCGGTCCTGGGCCACCCCCCTGGACGCACGTTTTGGTTTTTGCCCTAGCACTACACAGCTGATTCAAATAATCAAAGCTTGATGATGAGTTGATTATTTGAATCAGTTGTGTAGTGTTAGGGCAAAAAACTAAATGTGCACCCAGGTGGTAGGGGGGCAGGAAACACTGGCCTAAGGGGATTATTGGTACTACAAACATAACCTTCATAAACTCTTTACAAATAAACATAAGACTGGTCAGTTATCTTTATCAAATTGTACTGGAGGCAATTGTCTCGTGTGATCATCTGTGAAGATATTACGTATAGCATGCAAGATTCACCTACAATCAAATAAATGGTTATTCATTTAACACTCAGATCTTTGAGTTCCTGTGTTACACCACAGTATAACCAGTAATTTGGCCAATTGTATTTCATCACAGCACACAATCATTATATCATATTCTCATACAACTTTATGAGAGTTACATTTTCAATGCCTCAAATGACATCGAGAGAGAGAGAGAGAGAGAGAGAGGTTGCTGAATGTGTTGTAACCATGCTGTGTAACCAGAATAAACATGTTCAATGTGAGGCCTACGGAACGATCGCACAACACAGATGAGTGCTACTCGAATGTTAATGAGGTCTCCTTTAGACACACATAACTTAAATTATTACATATCTGCACGAATGCAAGGACCTGAGGTGCCCCCTATATATGGCATTTGAAATGTAGCTGGATTTATTTACGACATGTCTCCCTGCACAGGCCTCTCCACCTGAGCAGCGTTTTTAAAAGACACGGTTTTCTTTTAATGACCTGCAAATGAATCACTCTGGCAGAACCATAAAGAAGCAGAATCCCCTTTGAAAATGAACAAAACAAAAGATGAAGATTCTGCCAATAGATCATAGAAACCAACCACAGCAGTGCCAGAGCAGAGGTATAGGAAGCAAGAGGCACGTAAAAATGCCTTTCAGATATGTTGCTATTTATAATCATGATGCAGTACAAGAGACTACTACAGTGTCATCCACTGATGGGTCCAAATTCCTCCTTGTAGGGGGTTCCTCTGATTCTAGAGAAGCCACACAAAGACACCACAGCACAACAGCTAGCTAACTTTATTACAGCATAATTCATCTCTTCAGGCTCCAGTGGTGTGGTCCCTAAGGACAAAACATGTCAAGATCTCAACCAAGGATGAACACACAGTACAAAAGACAGAGATGGGAACTCATTCATCAAAATAACACATTTTACATAATGCTTTCAGTTTCATACTGTAGTGTAAGCCAAGGAAGTCACAGAATCAACTGCAACAAAATAAAATTAACCCCATTTTATTCTAATAAAGCATTTCTAGGACGTATTGCTCATTAATGTAATAATCAACCAGGGTGCTTAAAAGATGCAGCCATGTGTATCCAAATACCCCAGCAAGCTGAATGCTGAATGCCTTTTGATGGAGAGTTGCTAAGTGATTGCTTTTCTATTGAATCATCAGGCCTTTTTTTTAAAGACATCTCAGGGTCTTGAGAACACCCTTGGGTGCACAGGCAGCAACAATGAGAAGTGTATATGTTTGAATCCTCCACTCAAGCCAAATTCAGGGCTTTTTGTGGGGAAGATAAATGTATCTTAAGATTCCCCTCCCTCATTTCCTTCTATTTATTAGGATAATGAATTTCTGAGTGCTGTGCCAGTTCCACTGAGCCTGCTCCTCGGCCTAATTCTCTGTAACATTTCCACATAGCCGCTGGGGAACATTATATGAAGGCAGGGCTTACAATACCATCAATATGCCGAAGACGACAATCGGACGTTTCATAGATATTAATGGAAGTGCAAATTAAATCAAAGTTGGAGTGGAGCTATCGGGTTATGATCAATGCCTTTTGCGCAGTCAGATTTAATAGAGGGTTTGTAATTTGAGCATCCAAACAGAATGTGTATCTTAAATGGGGAAGATGAAAGTAATCCCACATGGGGAGGAAATAACACGTTAGCAGCATTATAATTAGAGAACTCGCAGTACAATGTTTCCCTCACACAGTATTGATGTTGAATAAAAATCGTATACATCTGTAATGCAGACACAGGATATGGATATTGGAATGGGATTTTAGCCACCTGTTATTAAGATGTCATTAGAGGTATTTGTCTAAAGCAAAAGTGTCAACAGAGTATTGTATTAGATGCATAACATAGTCTACCCAAATCATTTAGATAATTCAGTGGGCAGCTGAATCAAACAGAACAGCTTTGGCAATGGACCCACTCATTTTATTGTTATGTTGATGGGCAAAGAGCCATTGTTAGGGACAAATATACTGTAACCACCTTAGCTATGGTCATTACAATAATGACAGAAAACAATAAAGGCACAGTAGTTGAATTATTAAAAATGTGAATCATTTTATAAAGTCAATTTAAAATGGACTTGACAGCAATTTGCTCGGTCAGCAAAGCATTGGCTCAATTGATGCATCATTGGTCATGAAAATCATGAATTCATAAGTTTTACTGTGGATAACAAAAACACAAAGAGAAAAGCAATTCATAAAAGACATGAGCAGAAAGGGGCCTTCCCAGAAAAATGTATTTTAATAAAGCATGTGTATGCATCTAGTTTGCTACCTCTGTTCAAATATAATACAATATTATAACACAGGTTGACAAAATGTTCACCTTTTTATGATTTATTGGAAATCCATCTCCCAGTACATAGCACAGCAGCCACCTAAAATTAAATTGTGGAAGTCACCAGGTGAGCATGATACCAGCCAACAGCACAACTAGACTGCAATGAATAACACATGAGCTGACCAACAAGGCTACACAGAGCTCTACATACCAGCTATACAGCTAGTAACCACACACACACACACACACACACACACTAGAGCAAGATACAAGCAGGTGAGCTGATGCAACCCTCACCATCAGAGAAAACACATCTGTGGTGGTATAATGAAAATTAAATGTACTTGAAGGAGCTTTAAAAAATGAATTAAACAGTCTTGACGGCCATTTCCATCCCCTGGGCTTGTGCAACTAGGTTGTATCAATAATTGCTCATTTAAACATGCATATAATTAAAACCACTATTATTCCCAAGTTTGAATCAAGGTCCCTAAAATGTCAACCAGTCTGCAGTTTGGAAAGGTTACTTGGCGTCTGTGTGTCTTTCCCTACATGTGTTGCCATTGTTTTATCTCGCTGGAGTGGGGTGGATAAACTTTGAAGGACAATGGCTAACTCATGTTAAAGGCCCAGTGCTGTCGAAAACGTCATGTCCTGTGTTTTATATTTCCACACTATGAGGTTGGAATAATACTGTGAAATTGTGAAAATTATGGTTATGCCATTTTAGTGTAAAAACTGTTTGAAAAGACAGCCTGAAATGTCAAGTTGTTTTGCTGGAAGGAAGTGAATAGACCAATAGCAAGGAGAGTTTCAAACCTCTCTGCCAATAACAGCTAGTTTTCAGGTTACATATCCCTCTCATTAGGTTCCTCCAATAAGGCCCCTCGCTTAGGCCACTCCCAGACAGTCCTAGCTAAATTCTTGCTAGAGAAATAGCTTTCTACCAAGACACAAAAATAAACAATCACAGTAATTGGACCTTTAACCTACTACAGAGTTGTGACACCGTTGTTAAAATTGACAGAGGCTTTTATTGTGTCAATTGTCTTTCAACACTATCAAGGTACTTGGTCCCCCATTTTCTACTCTCTACCCTTCCTAATTTTGATAAACATATAATCTCAATATGGTTGAGATGTGATTTAATTTGATTTACATCAGTAAAATTAAGCATTTATTGAGCTGTTGAAAGCTAAATTATTTTTTATAATTGATTTTTGTCCACACTTCTCATTGACACGATAGGCCATTTAGACTTGCTGTAGTAGGAGCCTTAGCTCCATTTATAAAGGCTATACATTTCATTTTCAAATATCTCACTCACTAGACTAGGCCTGAGGCACAATAAAATACATAAATAAAAGGGTATTGATGTTGTCAAATATTAATATGTCATCTATAAACCCTGACGTACTCTCTCACCCAGATACAGGCTGTGCTCCACTCTGTGTTGTCTCCTCCTGTTGTCGCATCGACCCAGGGCTACTCACGATTCACTTCTGCTGTAAAATGTTGCATTCCAGGACAGGCATGGACATTAATCAAAGTTGATTTGAAGTGCGAGGGCACAAATGCTTTATGCTGAAGAACCCTTTCGCACAACACCGGCATGTTCGCGTGCCCCGCTCCTGAGCATAATTGCAGGAGGTCATAAATAATGTATTCAAGATCACTTACACCTCATGAAGCAAGCCATAGGTTTGGAGAGAGATCACATTTTCAGCTCAAAATACTTGATTTGGCTCTTGTGGCTGCACTTTCCAGGGAAAACAAGACCTTCAAAAAGGGCTTTGAAACCGTTTAGAGCAATACAAAACATAATAACATCAAAACAGTTTAGACTGTGCCACAGAATTATGCTGTGAATAAACTCCTGACTAAAGTGAGGTGTTGTAGGCAGCAGTACAGAGGATGGAGTTTACATTTTACATTACATTTTAGTCATTTAGCAGACGCTCTTATCCAGAGCGACTTACAGGAGCAATTAGGGTTAAGTGCCTTGCTTAAGGGCACATCGACAGACTTCTCACCTAGTCGGCTCGGGGATTAGAACCAGCGACCTTTCGGTTACTGGCACAACGCTCTTACCCACTAAGCTACCTGCCGCCCATGTTGCTGTGGATGCTACAATAGTTATGCCTTAGAAACTATAGGCAACACTTTAATGAATTGACAAAATTATACACCTACTGTTTGTATGACCCGTCAACCTGTGTTTAGGTACATCTGATGGAAAATCACAACTGAAGTTGTTAACTGACATGTCTTTACTTAAGATTATGACGGTAGATTACAATCAGAACAGTTATTACAATTCCCAACATAAACTGGCTAGATATTTGCATAACAATTACTGTGAACCTTGACAATTACTCACCTCATCTCTTGGCAAGCAGTAGCAACAGATGAATATATAGTAATTACATTTTTCATACATTGGAAATGTAACCATTTCAGTTAAACTGCATTTTAAATCGAAAGTACTGTACATTGTGTTTGTTCAACATTTCATCATAGATTCATCCCATGTCCAGCTGTTTGCACTCTAGAATTGCAGATGTCCTTTTAATCATAATTTCCTCACATATACATATAGCAGACCCTTTGTTATTACCCTCGGATAGTGGCAAATAATGTTCTTGATAACCCCACATTCAAACAGTGATTATCCTGTATCCTGAAAGGTGGAGATGGCAAATATCTGTGGCTTCCTGTCTCTAGACTGCCCCTTTGTGGCCATCTGACGAAATGCCTAACTAATATTCTACCCTCATTACATTAACATGTTTATTAGCTCATTCTGGATAGATTCTTACATTCACTGATTACATAAATCTATAGCATAGATGGTGCTAATTGGACACTCCTTTGGTATAATTGCAGTGACTAAGGTCGTGCCCTCAGCTAACCTCCTTTAAGCATTGTTTTTCAGCACATAAACAGATCAGGGAGCAATTAAGATGCAGATTGTAAGCACCACTTGAGGGACCAATCAGCAAAACCATGAGAGAGAAGAGCTGAGGGGGGGTGGGGGTACGCTATGGTACCCAGAGAAACACAACCAGCCCAGGACTGTCAAACAGGGAGATATTACACATTTCTATGCATACAATGTCTAGATAGTTTTGAAACCTTATTTCTGTGTTCAGTATGTAGTCCCCATAAGGAAAGGATTACGTTACAATATTAGTTTTGATAGTGTTTATTTGAGAAACAGATAGCATCTTGTCATACACATCTCAGTACTGTCTACTATGCCCAACCCATCTTTTGCAATCTAATATCCAGTATGTACTGTACTTGCACAGTAGAAAGCAGCATGCATTCAGTGTATTAAAATCTTGAACTATGAACCCTATTCAAGTACTTTGCACTTATGAAACAAATACCTCTGACGGGGCCAATGGTGTCAATACTTCTATATAAGAGTCACTCACAGATACCAGCGTGAAAAATGTTTCTGTATAAAAACACAGATGTCCAAAGGATAGCACCATGTAGAAGGGATATGATCAGCATACAAAGGATGGCAACAAAGTGTGCATTTCTGTCAAGAAAATTAACAGAGATATAAAAGCACAATTGTGTCTAAATAAATGTCCCTTTTATGTGAACAGTACTGTATGAAACTAAAATAATCTCCAATCTGACATAGATAATGGTAAACCAGTGAGGTAATCAGTCTGACCTAATCTCTCTGTTATCCAATTCTCCCTGTGGAGATCAGTCACAGTGGGTGCCACAGGAGGCTGATGAGGGGAGGACGGCTCATAATAATGGCTGGAATCGAGTGAAATCAAACACATAGAAACCAAGTGCTTGATATCATTCCATTTATTCTGTTCCAGCCATTATTATGAGCCGTCCTCCCCAATTAAGGTGCCACCAGACACCTGTGGTTCCAAGAGTGGAAAATATGAAGCTTCTCCCCCTCTCTACCACAGACTTTGCCCACCGTCTATGACTAAGTTATGCCCTGTCATGTAGTCGGAGGCGTCAGATGCCAAGTAGACCACTGCAGCTTGCAGGTCTGTCACTAGAGCCAGTCGTCCAGCAGGGATATCTGACAGCCAGCGCTTCACCAGAGGCCTCAAACTCTCCGAGTGGATGAGAGGGGTGTCAACAATCCCCCTGAAAAGAGAGAGGGAGAGACAGAGATGGAGGGAAAGAGAATTCAGAGACATCAGACTACAAAGCCAGGAGTGACAGCAGTGGGGCATTTCAGAGCCACCATTTTGGTAACCAAAATAAAATAATAAATAAACCCAATTACCCTTCAGAAAAAGGGTACATCTCTGATGATATTTACAGTGAGACCCGTGGTGTTAAATGACTGGCACGTCGCAGGAAGCGCCACCGGGTACGACAGGATCCTAGGTGTAACTTGCCTTCAGCAGCCTGTACATAATCACTTTCTCTGCGTCTCCCTGATTCCTGCTTGATATGTGCTTGAGCCGGTTTGATTCTCAGGCATAGTGCTTGAGTGGCATTTAAAGGAAACAGGTGTGTTGGTACTGTAGTGATTTCCTAATTGGATTTCCTCCTCTGAGACATAGGTACTTTCAAGTTTAGACGATACTTCATCCAATCTAATGTCAGAATTAATCTATCATGACCAATGATTTTCTCTCCACCTATTGAAATATATAATTTGGATAAACATGTCAACACAGCTGTGTCTAATGTGAGACGACTTCAGGCTTTTCACACAATCAATATGACAGTAACTAAAAGCTTCACGGTCGACTCATCTTTAGCCCGTACCCAACATGTTAGGCATAGAGAGTATTCCTGGCTGTGCCTTGATACAAATTCCAACATTTGGATAAATTAGCGGCTCCAAGAAGCATGTGACACCTTGGTTAACATATTCCACCTCAATTATATTTCTCTTCAGCACCCTGTTATCTGGAACCTTTCCTGGCAATCAGAGGTGCTGTTTTCCCTCAGCCAATTTTCTAGATAATGCAGCTTATCACTGACGCGGCTAAAGTTGCCAATGAAATCAGGCTGCAGTCAACCTCGCACTCGCTAATTGTGTCCCTTTATGCATATTTACCGACTGTCACTTCTAAGAAATCAGCGCCCCATTGAGACCACCAGTTAGAGGGGGGAAAGAATTGCTTCTTTGCAAATTAAAATTAGCAAACAAGCTAGCGATAAATAAAGCAGAGTGGCGTGAGAGTGGGCGCTTTGTTCTGGGGGCGGTGACGGGGCCCCGCACGCCGAGCCACCGGACAGATTTGCTCAGGGATGGCTAAGGGATGCTCCACTTAACACACACACACACACACACACACACACACACACACACACACACACACAGCAAAGAGCTCTTCCTCTGTCCTCTTCTTCCCACCACACAGCTTCACAGACAACTAGACACAAACAATGTGCTATTGTTGTGGAGACACTTTGAGTGAGGATGCTCATTTGATTCCCTAATTGAATATAACAATTAGAGCAAGAGTTTGGTTGATTCCTCCCTCAAGACACCATCTAATTATGCCTGAGCACATTGTTTGAGGGCTTAAATGGGTGCCTCATTCTCAAATGGAGCCTTTCCAATGGGGGAAAACAGTCAATCAACACCTCATCATTACTGTTCTTGGCAGCTCAACAAATAACAATATATACTGAACAAAAATATAAACGCAACATGTAAAGTGTTGGTCCCATGTTTCATGAGGCGAAATAAAAGATCCCAGAAATGTTCCATATGCACAAAAAGCTTATTTCTCTTTTGGTCACAAAATTGTTTACATCCCTGTTAGTGAGCATTTCTCCTTTGCCAAGATAATCCATCTACCTGACAGGTGTGGCATATCAAGAAGCTGATTAACCGCTTAAGGAACGGACACTTAATATAATATCGCAGTTTAGGCGCAATTTATATTTTGTCCACTAGACAGAAGCAGTGTGTGCAAAGTTTCAGATTGAGTGAAGCATTGCAATACTGGACTATTTTGTATCAAGTCTGCCCAAAAGTGCCGAATTGGTCAATTGATACATTTTCAAGTACATAACTATAGAGAACATACAAAAATGATATGGAAATACAAAATGTAAGTTTACACACTCCCAGGAATGTCATACATGATGGATCATTAGCTTATACACTAACTTTCACACATCTAGATGGCCGGGCGGGGTGGGTGTGGAGCCAGAGACAGCAGGGATTCAAACAGTAGAACCCAGTTCCTACATTTGAATATAAAAATGGATTTTATCATACAAAAGTACGCTACATTTTATCTCTGGGACCATTAGGATGACAAACAAGAGCAAGATTACTGAATGTAAGTACATTATTTACCTTCAGAGGTGAATGTATCAAATCACATTTTATTTATCACATACATGTGTTTAGCAGATGTTATAGCGGGTGTAGCGAAATGCTTGTGCTTCTAGCTCCGACAGTGCAGTAATATCTAACAATTTCACAACATATACCCAATACACACAAAAAAGTAAGGAATGGGATTTAAGAATATATACATATATGGACAAGCAAGAGCGGCATGGACTAAGATACAGAATAATATTATAGAATAGAATGCAGTATATACATATGAGATGAGTAGTGCAAGATATGTAAACATTATTAAAGTGACTAGTGTTCCATTTCTTAAAGTGGCCAGTGATTTCAATAGGCAGCAGCAGCAGCCTCTAATGTGCTAGTGATGGCTATTTAACAGTCTGAAGGCCTTGAGATAGAAGCTGTTTTTCATTCTCTCGGTCCCAGCTTTGATGCACCTGTACTGACCTTGTCTTCTGGATGATAGCGGGGTGAACAGGCAGTGGCTCGGGTGGTTGATGTCCTTGATGATCTTTTTGGCCTTCCTGTGACATCGGGTGCTGTATGTGTCTTGGAGGGCGGGTAGTTTGCCCCCGGTAATGCGTTTGGCAGACCGCACCACCCTCTGGAGAGCCCTGCGGTTGTGGGTGGTGCAGTTGCCGTACCAGGCGGTGATACAGCTCGACAGGATGTTCTCAATTGTGCATCTGTAAAAGTTTGTGAGGGTTTTAGGTGATAAGCCACATTTCTTCAGCCTCCTGAGGTTGAAGAGGCTCTGTTGCGCCTTCTTCACCACACTGTCTGCGTGGGTGGACCATTTCAGTTTGTCGGTGATGTGTACGCCAAGGAACTTGAAGCTTTCCACCTTCTCCACTGCAGTCCCGTCGATACGGATAGGTGGGTGCACCCTCTGCTGTTTCCTGAAGTCCATGATCATCTCCTTTGTTTTGTTGATGTTGAGTGAGAGGTTATTTTTCCTGACGAGCCCTCACCTCCTCCCTGTAGGCGGTCTCGTCATTGTTGGTAATCAAGCCTACTACTGTTGTGTCGTCTGCAAACTTGATGATTGAGTTGGAGGCGTGCTTGGCCACGCATTCATGGGTGAACAGGGAGTACAGGAGGGGGCTGAGCACGGACCCTCGTGGGGCCTCAGTGTTGAGGATCAGCGAAGTGGAGATGTAGTTTCCTACCTTACCTGTGCAGTGTGATGGCAATTGCATCGTCTGTGGATCTATTGGGGCGGTAAGCAAATTGAAGTGGGTCTAGGGTGACAGGTAAGGTAGAGGTGATATGATCCTTGACTAGTCTCTCAAAGCACTTCATGATGACAGAGGTGAGTGCTACAGGGCGATAGTCATTTAGTTCAGTTCCCTTTGCTTTCTTGGGTACAGGAACAATGGTGGCCCTCTTGAAGCATGTGGGAACAGCAGACTGGGAAAGGGAGAGATTGAATATGTCCATGAACACACCAGCCAGCTGGTCTGCGCATGCTCTGAGGACGCGGCTAGGGATGCCGTCTGGGCCGGCAGCCTTAAAGGGTTAACATGCTTAAATGTCTTAATCACGTCGGCCATGGAGAAGGAGAGGCCACAGTCCTTGGTAGTGGGCCTCGTCAGTGGCACTGTGTTATCCTCAAAGCGGACGAAGAAGGTGTTTAGCTTGTCTGGAAGCGAGACGTTGGTGTCGGCGACGTGGATGGTTTTCTTTTTGTAGTCTGTGATTGTCTGTAGACCCTGCCACATACGTCTCGTGTCTGAGCCGTTGAATTGCGACTCCACTTTGTCTCTATACTGATGTTTTGCCAGTTTAATTGCCTTGCGGAGTGAGTAGCTACACTGTTTGTATTCTGCCATATTCCCAGTCACCTTGCCATGGTTGAATGCGGTGGTTTGCGCTTTCAGATTTGCGAGATTGCTGCCATCTATCCACGGTTCCTGGTTAGGGTAGGTTTTAATAGTCACAGTTGGCACATCATCACCTATAGACTTCCTGATAAACTCAGTCACTGTTTCAGTGTATATGTCAAAATTATTTTCGGAAGCTACCCGGAACATATCCCAGTCCACGTGATGAAAACAATCTTGAAGCGTGGATTCCGATTGGTCAGACCAGCGTTGAATAGTCCTTAGCATGGGTACTTCCTGTTTACATTTACATTTTTAAATTTTTTTGTCATTTAGCAGACGCTCTTATCCAGAGCGACTTACAGTTAGTGAGTGCATACATTATTTATTTTTCATACTGGCCCCCGTGGGAAACGAACCCACAACCCTGGCGTTGCAAACGCCATGCTCTACCAACTGAGCTACATCCCTGCCGGCCATTCTCTCCCCTACCCTGGACGACACTGGGCCAATTGTGCACCGCCCCATGTTTGAGTTTCTGCCTATAGGAAGGGAGAAGCAAAATGGAGTCGTGGTCAGATTTGCCGAAAGGAGGGCAGGGGAGGGCCTTATAACCATCCCGGAAGTTTGAATAGCAATGGTCGAGGATTTTAGCTGCGCGAGTACAACAGTTGATATGTTGATAGAACTTCGGCAGCCTAGTCCTCAAATTTGCTTTGTTAAAATCCCCGGCTACAATAAATGCAGCCTCAGGATATGTGGTTTCCAGTTTGCATTAGGGCCAGTGAAGTTATTTGAGGACCGTAGTGGTATCGGCTTGAGGGGGGATATACACGGCCGTGACTATAACCAAAGAAAATTATCTTGGGAGATAATACGGTCGGCATTTGATTGTGAGATATTCTAGGTCGGGTGAACAGAAGGACTCGAGTTCCTCTATGTTAACTACAATTACACCACGAGTCGTTAATCATGAAACACACACCTCCGCCCTTCTGCTTCCCGGAGAGATATTTATTCCAGTCTGCGCGATGAACTGAGAACCCATCTGGCTGGACCGATTCTGACAGAATATCCCAAGAGAGCCATGTTTCCGTGAAACAGAGTATGTTACAGGCCTTGATGTGTCTCTGGAAAGAAATCCTTGCCCGTAGTTCGTCGACTTTGTTAACTAAAGACTGAACATTAGCGAGTAGAATACTTGGAAGCGGTGGGTGGTGTGCACGCCTCCTTAGTCGGACCAGCAGGCCGCTCCAAGTGCCTCTCTTCCGCCGGCGATGTTTTGGGTCAGCCGCTGGAATCAGTTCAGTTGCCCTGGGGAGAGCAACCAAAGGATCTGCTTCGGGAAAGTCGTATTCCTGGTCGTAATGCTGGTGAGTTACCGCCGCTCTGATATCCAATAGTTTTTCCCGGCTGTATGTAATGATGCAAAACACTTTCTGAGCTAATAATGTAGTTGCCGTGATAAGTTTTTTGATGCTATGCACTCTCCTCAAACAATAGCATGGTAGTTTTTCACTGTAATAGCTACTGTAAATTGGACAGTGCATTTAGATTAACAGGAATTTAAGCTTTCTGCCTATATAAGACATTTCTACGTCCTGGAAAGTTTGATGTTACTTACAACAGTTATGCTAATCACATTAGCGCACGTTAGCTCAACCGTCCCGTATAAGGGACACCCGATCCCGTAGATGTTAAACAGCATGATCATTACACAGGTGCACCTTGTGCTGGGGCCAATAAAAGACCACTCTAAAATGTGCAGTTTTGACACACAACACAATGCCACAGATGTATCAAGTTGAGGGAGCGTGCAATTGGCAGGCTGACTGCAGGAATGTCCACCAGAGCTGTTGCCAGAAAATGTCATGTTAATTTCTCTACCATAAGCTGCCTCAAACGTTGTTTTAGGGAATTTGGCAGTACGTCCAACTGGCCTCACAACCGCAGACCACGTGTAACCACGCCAGCCCAGGACCCCCACGTCGGGCATCTTCACCTGCGGGATCGTCTGAGACCAGCCACCCGGACAGCTGATGAAACAGATTAGTATTTCTGTCTGTAATAAAGCCCTTTTCTTGGGAAAAACTATTTCTGATTGGCTGGGCCTGGCTCCCCAGTGGGTGGGCCTTATTTGTGATGTGTAAACTGTTGTGGCATGGGGATACAGATAAGACCTGACATTGATACTATAGGCCTATTCTGAAGCCAGGCCATTTATATAAAACAAACATGTGGGACACAAACTTACGGTGAGATGCAGTTAACACGGACCCCTCTGTCGATCCACTCTGTGCCAAGTGTCTGTGTCAGTTTGACCACTCCTGCCTTTGAGGTGTTGTAGGCAAGCTGCTTCTGTGGATGGGGCACTGCAGAGGGGACAAATTAAATCAAGTAGTATTGGTCCAACTACACCTGCACACTTTTTTTGTATTTGTTTTTATCTGTATTGTTGTCTATCACTTGTTTTAAACTAAACTTAAAACTAAATAAAACACATACAGTGCCTTCAGAGAGTATGTATACACCTTGACTTATTCCACATACAGGCTGAATTAAAAAATTAATTAAATAATTTTTTTCCTCACCCATCTACACACAATACCCCATAATGACAAAGTAAAAACATGTTTTTAGAAATGTTAGCAAATTTATTTACATAAGTATTCACACCCTTTTGCTATGACACTCCACATTTTGCTCAGGTGCATCCAATTTCCTTTGATCATCCTTGATATGTCACTACAACTTGGAGTCCACCTGTGGCCAATTCAATTGTTTGGACATGATTTAGAAAGGAACACACCTGTCTATATAAGGTCCCACAGTTGGCAGTATACACAATAAATACAAAAAGGTATGTGGACATCCCGTCAAATTAATGGATTCGGCTATTTCAGCCACACCCGTTGCTGAAAGGTCTATAAAATCGAGCTCACTGCCATGCAATCTCCATAGACAAACATTTGCAATAGACAGGCCTTACTGAAGAGCTCAGTGACTTTCAACGTGGCACCGTCATAGAATGCCACCTTTCCAACAAGTCACATTTGTGCCCTGCTAGAGCTGCCCTGGTCAACTGTAAGTGCTGTTATTGTGAAGTGGAAAAGTCTAGGAGCAACAACGGCTCAGCCGCGAAGTGGTAGGCCACACAAGCTCACAGAACAGGACCACCGAGTGCTGAAGCGCGTAAAAATCGTTTCACTACCGAGTTCCAAACTGCCTCTGGAAGCAACATCAGCACCAGAACTGTTCATCGGGAGCTTCATGAAATGGGTTTCCTGCCCCAAAGCGTAGTGCCAACTGTAAAGTTTGGTGGAGGAGGAATAATGGTCTGGAGCTATTTTTCATGGTTCGGACAAGGCCCCTTAGTTCCAGTGAAGGGAAATCTTAATGCTACAGCATACAATGACATTCTAGATAATTATGTGCTTCCAACTTTGTGGCAACAGTTTGGGGAAGGCCCTTTCCTATTTCAGAATGACAATGCCCCTGTGCACAAAGCGAGGTCCATACAGAAATGGTTTGTCGAGATCGGTGTGGAAGAACTTGACTGGCCTGCACATGACCTCAACCCCATCGAACACCTTTGGGCTGAATTGGAACTGACTACGAGCCAGGCCTAATCACCCAACATCTGTGCCCGACCTCACTGATGCTCGTTGCTGAATGGAAGCAAGTCCCCACAGCAATGTTCCAACATCTAGTGGAAAGCCTTCCCAGAAGAGTGGAGGCTGTTATAGCAGAAAAAAGGGGGGACTAACGCCATATTAATGCCCATGATTTTGGAGTGAGATGTCCGACGAGAATGTTTCCACATACTTTCGGTCATGAAGTGTATGTCGAAGCAGAAACTATACCATGAAGTCTAAGGAACTGTCCGTAGGTCTCCAAAATATAATTGTGATGAGGCACACAGTGCCTTGCAAAAGTATTCATCCCCCTTGGCATTTTCCCTACTTTGTTGCATTACAACCTGTAATTTAAATGGATTTTTATTTGGATTTCATGTAATGGACATACACAAAAGTCCAAATTGGTGAAGTGAAATGAAAAAAATGAACTATGGAAAAGTGGTGCGTGCATACAGTGGGGAAAAAAAGTATTTAGTCAGCCACCAATTGTGCAAGTTCTCCCACTTAAAAAGATGAGAGAGGCCTGTAATTTTCATCATAGGTACACGTCAACAAAAAATCCAGAAGATTACATTGTAGGATTTTTAATGAATTTATTTGCAAATGATGGTGGAAAATAAGTATTTGGTCAATAACAAAAGTTTCTCAATACTTTTTTATATACCCTTTGTTGGCAATGACACAGGTCAAACATTTTCTGTAAGTCTTCACAAGGTTTTCACTCACTGTTGCTGGTATTTTGGCCCATTCCTCCATGCAGATCTCCTCTAGAGCAGTGATGTTTTGGGGCTGTCGCTGAGCAACACGGACTTTCAACGCCCTCCAAAGATTTTCTATGGGGTTGAGATCTGGAGACTGGCTAGGCCACTCCAGGACCTTGAAATGTTTCTTACGAAGCCACTCCTTCGTTGCCCGGGCGGTGTGTTTGGGATCATTGTCATGCTGAAAGACCCAGCCACGTTTCATCTTCAATGCCCTTGCTGATGGAAGGAGGTTTTCACTCAAAATCTCACGATACATGGCCCCATTCATTCTTTCCTTTACACGGATCAGTCGTCCTGGTCCCTTTGCAGAAAAACAGCCCCAAAGCATGATGTTTCCACCCCCATGCTTCACAGTAGGTATGGTGTTCTTTGGCTGCAACTCAGCATTCTTTGTCCTCCAAACACGACGAGTTGAGTTTTTACCAAAAAGTTCTATTTTGGTTTCATCTGACCATATGACATTCTCCCAATCCTCTTCTGGATCATCCAAATGCACTCTAGCAAACTTCAGACGGGCCTGGACATGTACTGGCTTAAGCAGGGGGACACGTCTGGCACTGCAGGATTTGAGTCCCTGGCGGCGTAGTGTGTTACTGATGGTAGGCTTTGTTACTTTGGTCCCAGCTCTCTGCAGGTCATTCACTAGGTCCCCCCGTGTGGTTCTGCGATTTTTGCTCACCGTTCTTGTGATCATTTTGACCCCACGGGGTGAGATCTTGCGTGGAGCCCCAGATCGAGGGAGATTATCAGTGGTCTTGTATGTCTTCCATTTCCTAATAATTGCTCCCACAGTTGATTTCTTCAAACCAAGCTGCTTACGTATTGCAGATTCAGTCTTCCCAGCCTGGTGCAGGTCTACAATTTTGTTTCTGGTGTCCTTTGACAGCTCTTTGGTGTTGGCCATAGTGGAGTTTGGAGTGTGACTGTTTGAGGTTGTGGACAGGTGTCTTTTATACTGATAACAAGTTCAAACAGGTGCCATTAATACAGGTAACGAGTGGAAGACAGAGGACCCTCTTAAAGAAGAAGTTACAGGTCTGTGAGAGCCAGAAATCTTGCTTGTTTGTAGATGACCAAATACTTATTTTCCACCATAATTTGCAAATAAATTCATTAAAAATCCTACAATGTGATTTTCTGGATTTTTTTTTCTCAATTTGTCTGTCATAGTTGACGTGTACCTATGATGAAAATTACAGGCCTCTCTCATCTTTTTAAGTGGGAGAACTTGCACAATTGGTGGCTGACTAAATACTTTTTTCCCCCACTGTATGTATTCACCCCCTTTGCTATGAAGCCCCTAAATAAGATCTGGTGCAACCAATTACCTTCAGAAGTCACATAATTAGTTAAATAAAGTCCACCTGTGTGCAATCTAAGTGTCACATGATCTGTCACATGATCTCAGTATATATATATATATATATATATATATATCACACACACCTGTTCTGAAAGGCCCCAGAGTCTGCAAAACCACTAAGCAAGGGGCAACACCAAGCAAGCGGCACCATGAAGACCAAGGAGCTCTCCAAACAGGTCAGGGACAAAGTTGTGGAGAAGTACAGATCAGGGTTGGGTTATAAAAAAAATATTAAAAACTTTGAACATCCCACGGAACACCATTAAATCCATTATTTAAAAAATGGAAAGAATATGGCACCACAACAAACCTGCCAAGAGAGGGCTGCCCACCAAAACTCACGGACCAGGCTAGGAGGGCATTCATCAGAGAGGCAACAAAGAGACCAAAGATAACCCTGAAGGAGCTGCAAAGCTCCAAAGCGGAGATTGGAGTATCTGTCCATAGGACTACTTTAAGCCGTACACTCCACAGAGCTGGGCTTTATGGAAGAGTGGCAATAAAATAGCCATTGCTTTAAGAAAAAAATAAGCAAAAACGTTTGGTGTTCGCCAAAAGGCATGTGAGACTCCCCAAACATATGGAAGTAGGTACTCTGGTCAGATGAGACTAAAATTGAGCTTTTTGGCCATCAAGGAAAATGCTATGTCTGGCGCAAACCCAACACCTCTCATCACCCCGAGAACACCATCCCCACAGTGAAGCATGGTGGTGGCAGCATCATGCTGTGGGGATGTTTTTCCATTGGCAGGGACTGGGAAACTGGTCAGAATTGAAGGAATGATGGATGGCGCTAAATACAGGGAAATTCTTGAGGGAAACCTGTTTCAGTCTTCCAGAGATTTGAGACTGGGACGGAGGTTCACCTTCCAGCAGGACAATGACCCTAATCATACTGCTAAAGCAACACTCAAGTGGTTTAAGGGGAAACATTGAAATGTCTTGGAATGGCCTACTCAAAGCCCAGACCTCAATCCAATTGAGAATATGTGGTATGACTTAAAGATTGCTGTACACCAGCAGAACCCATCCAACTTGAAGGAGCTGGAGCAGTTTTGCCTTGAAGAATGGGCAGAAATCCTAGTGGCTAGATGTGCCAAGCATATAGAGACATACCCCAAGAGACTTGCAGCTGTAATTGCTGCAAAAGGTGGCTCTACAGTCGTGGTCAAAAGTTTTGAGAATGACACAAATATTAATTTTCAAAGTCTGCTGCCTCAGTTTTTATGATGGCAATTTGCATATACTCCAGAATGTTATGAAGAGTGATCAGATGAATTGCAATTAATTGCAAAGTCCCTCTTTGCCATGAAAATGAACTTAATCCCCCAAAAAACATTTCCACTGCATTTCAGTCCTGCCACAAAAGGACCAGCTGACATGTCAGTGAGTCTCTCGTTAACACAGGTGAGAGTGTTGACGAGGACAAGGCTGCAGATCACTCTGTCATGCTGATTGAGTTAGAATAACAGACTGGAAGCTTTAAAAGGAGGGTGGTGCTTGAACTCATTGTTCTTCCTCTGTTAACCATGGTTACCTGCAAGGAAACATGTGCCGTCATCATTGCTTTGCACTAAAAGGGCTTCACAGGCATGGATATTGCTGCTAGTAAGATTGCACCTAAATCAACCATTTATCAGATCATCAAGAACTTCAAGGATAGAGGTTCAATTGTTGTGGAGAAGGCTTCAGGGTGTCCAAGAAAGTCCAGCAAGCGCCAGGACCGTCTCCTAAAGTTGATTCAGCTGCGGGATCGGGACACCACCAGTGCAGAGCTTGCTCAGGAATGGCAGCAGGCAGGTGTGAGTGCATCTGCACACACAGAGAGACGAAGACTTTTGGAGGATGGCCTGGTGTCAAGAAGGGCAGCGAGAAAGCCACTTCTATCCAGAAAAAACATCAGGGACAGACTGATATTCCGCAAAAAGTACAGGGATTGGACTGCTGAGGACTGGGGTAAAGTCATTTTCTCTGATGAATCCCCTTTCCGATTGTTTGGGGCATCCGGAAGAAAGCTGGTCCAGAGAAGACAAGGTGAGCACTACCATCAGTCCTGTGTCATGCCAACAGTAAAGCATCCTGAGACCATTAATGTGTGGGGTTGCTTCTCAGCCAAGGGAGTGGGCTCACTCACAATTTTGCCTAAGAACACAGCCATGAATAAAGAATGGTACAACACATCCTCAGAGAGCAACTTCTCCCAACCATCCAAGAACAGGTTGGTGACGAACAATGCCTTTTCCAGCATGATGGAGCACCTTGCCATAAGGCAAAAGTGATAACTAAGTGGCTCAGGGAACAAAACATCGACATGTTGGGTCCATGGCCAGGAAACTCCCCAGACCTTAATCCCATTGAGAACTTGTGGTCAATCCTCAAGAGGCGGCTGGACAAACAAAAACCCACAAATTCTGACAAACTCCAAGCATTGATTATGTAAGAATGGGCTGCCATCAGTCAGTATGTGGCTCAGAAGTTAATTGATAACATGCCAGGGCGGATTGCAGAGGTCTTGAAAAAGAAGGGTCAACACTGCAAATATTGACTATTTTTATAAACTTAATGTAATTGTCATTAAAAGCCTTTGACACTTATGGAATGCTTGTAATTATACTTCAGTATACCATAGTAACATCTGACAAAAATATCTAAAAACACTGAAGCAGCAAACTTTGTGAAGACCAATACTTGTGTCATTCTCAAAACTTTTGACCATGACTGTACAAAGTATTGACTTTGGGGGGGTGAATAGTTATGCACGATAAAGTTCAGTTTTTTTGTATTATTTCTTGTTTGTTTCACAATAACAAATATTTTGCATCTTCAAAGCGGTAGGCATGTTGTGTAAATCAAATGATACAAACCCCCCAAAAAATCCATTTTCATTCCAGGTTGTAAGGCAACAAAATAGGAAAAATGCCAAGGGGGGTGAATACTTTCACAAACCACTGTGAAGGGTATAAAACAATTTCTAGTGTTGAAAGTTTCCAAGAGCAGTGGTCTCCATCATTGGGAAATTGAAAAAAAATATGGAACTACGCAGACTTTGCCTAGAGCTGGCCGTCTGACCAAACTGACCAAGAACCCAATGACATAACTACAGAGTTCATTGGCTGAGATGGGAGAACCTGTCAGAAGGACAACAGTCTCTAAAGCACTTCACCAATCTGGGCTTTAAAGGCCAGACAGAAGCTACTCCTGAGAAAAATAAATCACTGCACGCCTGGAGTTTGCAAAAAGGCACGTGAAAGACAGAGCATAAGGCAAAAGATTCTGTGGTCTGAAGAGACAAAAATTTAACTGAATGCAAAGCGCTGGAGAAAACCAGGCACAGTTCATCAACTTTCTAACACCATCCCTACCCTGAAGCATGGTGGTGGCAGCATCATGCTATGGTGATGCTTTTTAGCGGCAGGGACTGGGAGACTGGTAAGGAGAGAGGAAACAATGAATGGAGCCAAATACAGGCAAATCCTTGATGAGAAGCTGCTTCAGAGTGTAAACGAATTTAGACTGGGGGAAGATTTACGTTCCAATAGGACAATGACCCAAAGCAACACTGGAATGGCTTCAGAACAAGAATGTGAAAGTCCTTGAATGGCCCAGCCAAAGCCCAGACTTAATCCCATTGGAAATCTGTGGAAAAACTTGAAGATTGCTGTTCACCGCTGCTCCCCATGTAACTTAACAGAGCTTGAGAATAATAATAATAATAATAATAAATAATAATATGCCATTTAGCAGACGCTTTTATCCAAAGCGACTTACAGTCATGCGTGCATACATTTTTGTGTTTGGGTGGTCCCGGGGATCGAACCCACTACCTTGGCGTTACAAGCGCCGTGCTCTACCAGCTGAGCTACAGAGAAAATCTGCAAGGAAGAAAATCCCCAAATCCAGATGTGTATAGCTTATACAGACATACCCGAGACAACTCAAAGTGTAATCGCCGTCAAAGTTGCTTCTACAAAGTATTGACTCAGGGGTGTGAATAATTATGTAAATTAGATATCTGTATTTCATTTTAAATAAAATGTGCTAACATTTCTCAAAACATGTTTTCACTTTGTCATTATGGGTTATTGTGTGTAGATGGGTGGGGAGAAATCTATTTAATCCATTTTGAATTCAGGCTGTAACAACAAAATGTGGAATAAGTTAAGGGGTATGAATACTTTCTGAAAGCACTGGATTTTGCAGATGTTATTGCAGGTGCAGCGAAATGCTTATGTTTCTAGCTCCAACAGTGCAGTATACCTAACAAACAGACAAAAGAACAAAGACACCAACGTCAACTGTTTTATCCCAGACCATATAAAACTGCACTCAATGTCTAAAAGACTAACCTTACCCCTCTAATAACCATGAAACACAGATTACAATATAGACGTTCTCTGAGCGTACCCCTGCATATTATTAATTCAATGCATTACTTAATTTCAATCATAACTCATCTCCCTGGTTTCTACTGCATGCTACATGAAAACACCTCCATTAGCTATTGGGGACCCCGTGGATGAAGCCATGTCAAATTAATTGCTTGTAATGTCCAGTTACGCTCCGTCTTCAGCAACAAAGGCAACACACCATTTGTTTGCCTTGACCATCACAGATGCTGCACAATGCATGGGATGCTGGGACAGCGGCTCATTTTCCTCTGGTTGATTAATCATCACAGGGAAGCCTCCAAGTTACATACAACTTTAGTAGTTACCTCGTCGCCCCTTGATCTCACTGCCAAATTGCTTCGGTCGGAACAGAGAGAATAAATATGACAGCTACAGAGCGGCAGGGGCTGGTCCTGGGGAGACAGACTGGACCAGAGATTCACTGTCCCTTGTTTGTTTAGAAAGGAAAAGAGCTGATGTGAGGAGAGAAGCGGATAAAGGATGCTTCCATGATGGAGTGAGGAGGCTGAGGAGGATGTGCAGGCCCTTGGGTAGGACCCCAGCCTAGGAGGAGAGGAGGCGCATGTGAGGAGGAGCAGAGCCCAGGGCTTACACCCAGATTGAAGGTGAAAGCCAATTTATCAGGACAGGAAACACAGCTAAAAAAGCCTAACAGCGCTAATCCTCACTGAAGACCTGATGATACAGCTCCAAAATACCATTCAAAACAGGCGTTCATCCTTCAAATAAACCTGCATTGATGTTTTCCGTCTTTAAGAGTAGTAATCCTTAGAGAGGGAGAAAGAGGCAGAAAGAGAGCACTGTCTAAAACCCTCCTTAAACATTCCCCCTGCTACTTATTGCCCATTCTATGTGGGGGGAAACAAGCCCTTTTCATCAGACAGGCCTACACGTACTCAAGTCCTCAGGACAGATAGGAAGTAAAGATGGCTGAATGAGCGTAACACTGTCATGATTCCCTCTATCCTCCTCAGTCAGGTCAAATTCTTTACATCTACTCTCCAATACAGCCAAACAGCATGGAAAATAAATATTAGAGTTTGTTAGCATGTAAAAATACTTGTAATGCTCTTCCTTCTGTGTGGCCTACCATCATTCTCTTGTGATGTACAGGGGAGGGGAAAAACACATTTTATTCAGCAGATGGACAAAAAGCTGTCATTGAGCATTTTAAATGGACATTCACGGCTGCTTTTTGGTACCCTACTTGGCTAGAACAGGTCCCATCTGATTATGCATTATGACAATATTATAACAGATGTCCAGTACAATAAAGTAAATTCCTGCAGGACTTCACATTGTGTGTGTAATTGATCAAATTGTTATGCAGGCCTCTATTTACCAGCATGGCCCTGTTTTTCAGATTGCCCCTGCAGTTGGGACTCAGGCCCATATGGTGCAGCAGTTTATTGGCGATTTGACTATATTGCTGATTAAGTGTTACTGTTCCTCTGGAGGAACCTGTAGGAGGATTTACACTGGGCTGTGAATAACTCAAATTTCACAATGCATTCTAAAAGCATCTTCTGCTGCTTAAACACAGCCCTTGACAAAGGCAGACAGGGTTGTTGCACAGGAAGCCCCTTTACATGTTGGACCTCAGGTTGCCTTCCTGGCACTTCCTCCCCAGAGCTCAGGAGATGGATGTTTATTATGATGCAAAACTGCCTTGATGAGCAGCAATCACAACTAACTGTTTGCAGCGGGAGAATAATGTGGGTGGATGAATTACTATAGCATTGTCCTGAATAAACAGTTATATGGTGAAGATTAGCAGTAGTAGCAATTATACTTTTAAACAATAAGATTGCATCTGAGAAATGGGTCACCAAGTTTCCTCCTCTGTCATTTTCAGTTCACTAAAATACACTGAAATGGCAAGACCGTAGAATACCAAGCACAATGAAGTCTGTTTGCAACATTATAGAAACAAACTGTATACAATTATGTTCTGGTGCACAAAAGCACTGTGATGAGTATTACATTACTGTACTTCTCAGTGTACTGTAGGAGACATATCAATGCAGCAACAAAGCTAATCTCATTACTCATCACTTTATTCACAATACATGGAGATGAAAAGAAGACATTCTCCCTCTAAAACGTTGATGAAATCTAAAGGAAACATACAGGATAGATAGAATATTCACTCACCTATTAGACTGGCCATGGATGCTGTGTTAATAATCTTCCCATATCCTTGCTTCAGCATCACACGACCTGCAGCCTGAGGCAAGAATTCAGGGGGAATGGGCACATATTAGAAACATTCATCACACTTTTAGTACTGACACCCTATTTATACACTTTTCATTATTATTCATACTAACTCAAAGACCCTAACTCAAAATATCATATATTCCATGTGTATCTTACATGTCAAACATTCCCTACCCAAAACTGTTAGATATGCAACTGAAGTGCAAACTACTGTACATGTTTCCCATTTTCCAGACAGGCCTACGCCACTGGTATGATCCTCTGAGTAATGAAATAGATCACACAGGCCTACAGTAGCATGCTAGCCTACATTTACATTTTAGTCATTTAGCAGACGCTCTTATCCAGAGCGACTTACAGGAGCAATTAGGGTTAAGTGCCTTGCTTAAGGGCACATCGACAGATTTTTCACCTAGTCGGCTCGGGGATTAGAACCAGCGACCTTTCGGTTACTGGCACAACGCTCTTACCCACTAAGCTACCTGCCGCCCCGCAGCCGATAGTGGGCGCTAGATCTGCGCTATCTAGGATTGATGTGCCCAACCGGTAATACACTTGTGTCCTCCGTGGACCGGCTCGTACATAAAGCATCCTCCATTCAGGCTGCAAAGGCATCATTTTCCTTTTTAACTACCTTTAATGGCGGGCCGTTGAAAATAAAAACTGGAAAAATATGTGTACCATCTTAATAAAACAATTTTCCACCACCATTTTAACTTAGGATGTCGCGCACCGCATTCAGCCGGTCCACGAGGGACACGAGTGTATTACTGGCTGGGCACATCAATCCTAGATAGTGCAGATCTAGCACCCCCTACAGGCGGCCTAGGCTTACAACAGAATACAGCAGAGAAATCACACACCTGACAACACATGAAGGTCCCCCTCAAGTTGACATCAAAGGTTTGGTCCCACTCTTCCAGACTGGTGTCTTCACTGGCTGAGTTCATGTTGATCCCTGCGTTGTTGCATGCTATTTGGATCGCTCCCCATTTGGACACAATGCTGTCAATCATCCTCTCAACATCCACCGATTTGCTGATGTCAGCAGTAATCGCAATGCAATTTATCCCTGGATTAGAAAGTAGTGGCTGTTTAAAATGCAATAATAGGCAACATGTCTAGCCTTTTAAAGACTGAAGTTTGGAATTATTGATATTATCATTCATTTGTGTCTTCATATGCAAAATATGTTTTCTTGAGCGGAGGGTCAGGGGACCAGAACATAATTAAAAATAATTTGTAGACTGCAAATTGACCGCAAGAAGCCCAAACAGATATAATATTTCACTAAAGCAATCATTTCAAACCTTGCTTATGTTTGTATACGATCGCATACACTGAGTGTACAAAACATTAGGAACACCTGCTCTTTCCATGACAGACTGACCAGGTGAATCCAGGTGAAAGCTATGATCCCTTATTAATGTTACCTGTTAAATCCACTTCAATCAGTGTAGATGAGGGGAGGAGACAGGTTAAATAATTTAAGCCTTGAGACATGGATTGTGTATGTGTGCCATTCAGAGGGTGAATGGGAAAGAAAATATTTAAGTGCCTTTGAACGTGGTCTGGTAGGTAGTAGGTGCCAGGCGCACCGGTTTGTGTTAAGAACTGCAACGCTGCTGGGTTTCACGCTCAACAGTTTCCCATGTGTATCAAAAATGGTCCACCACCCAAATACATCCAGCCAACTTGACAACTGTGGGAAACATTGGAGTCAACATGGGCCAGCATCCCTGTGGAACGCTTTTGACACCTTGTAGAGTCCATCCCCCGACGAATTGAGCCTGTTCTGAGGGCAAAAGCAGGGGGGGGGGGGGAATAAAACTTGGGGGGCCAAATAAAATCTTGGCCCGCTAATTGGGGAACCATGATATACAGTATTTCCTTGACAGTAGAGCACCATCTGCTGGCAGTACATGGAAGGTTAATATGAAAATCCAGCATTGTAACAATCATAGTGGTGTGCTCTAATGCCAAAGCCTTACCTTTCAGTGTGAGCTCCTCTGCCACGCCCTCAGCCTTCCCTTGTTCCAGGTCTACCACAGCCACTTTGGCCCCAGCCTCTCCCAGGGCATGTGCGAACGCCCTGCCTATACCCTGGCCTGCCCCTGTCACATAGGCCACCCTGCCGTCCAGACGCATCCGGTCCAGGATCGACCTCCCGTTCAAACCCCGGAATACCTCATCGTCTGTTATCTTGCTCTGAGACAAGTCAAACACAAACGAGTTATAAGTGAGAAGGGAAAAAGTCTGTATGAACTTTTAAGCACTGTAAAGTCACCATTTGACTCATGGTAGTAACTACCGCTGTCAATGACAACAATGGTAGTGTCAGTGCTAAAAGTAAAATCTGACAAGAAAATTCCTAAGTGTGGTTCCGACTGAGGATGTCTTATGTTACCTGTGTGCCTGCACATGCTGTTGACATAGGTACTCTGCGGATGATGCTGATGCCATCTCTGAGAGGGACAATGACCTTAAAAAAGCAAACACTTCTTTATTAACACAGGAGAAAACACACAGAAAGAATCAGACAGATTACAAGCCATGTCTCTCCACTGACCTGCTCCACACGAGGATCACTCATCACAAACTGGTTAAAATCCCGAAGCGCCAATCCGTTTTCATCAGCGGTGTCCTCTAGGTAGACCTTAGCCTTAAACAGAGAGTTATCCACACATATCACACCACTCAGCCGTAGGAGGTTATGGTCCAGAATCAACTTGTAGTAGTTGATGTAGTTGTTCTTGTCTGCGTCGATGAAGACCATGTCAAACTGCTCACCTGCCGCAGCCAATTCCTTTCAAAATAGACAATATTAAAAGAGAGCTGGACCATTCACTGTCAATGAGCTTGATATACTGATACAGTGTATAGCCTTTTACTCCTGCCAGTCATTCAATTAACAGGGGTAATGGTTGCTATATATACAGCACCAGTCAAAAGTTTGGACACACCTACTCATTCAAGGGGTTTTCTTTATTAAAAAAAAAAAAAATTACATTGTAGAATAATAGTGAAGACATCAAAACTATGAAATAACACACATGGAATCATGTAGCAACCAAAAAGGTGTTATATCAAAATATATTTTATATTTGAGATTCTTCAAATAGCCACTCTTTGCCTTGATAACAGCTTTGCACACTCTTGGCATTCTCTCAACCAGATTCATGAGGTAGTCACCTAGAATGCATTTCAATTAACAGATGTGCCTTGTTAAAAGTTAATTTGTGGAATTTCTTTCCTTCTTAATGGGTTTGAGCCAATCAGTTGTGTTGTGACAAGGTAGGGGGGTATACAGAAGAAAGTCCATATTATGTCAAGAACAGCTCAAATAATCAAAGAGAAACGACAGTCCATCATTACTTTAAGACATGAAGGTCAGTCAATCCGGAAAATGTAAAGAACTTTGAAAGTATCTTCAAGTGCAGTCGCAAAAACCATCAAGCGCTATGATGAAACTGGCTCTCATGAGGACCGCAACAGGAATGGAAGAACCAGAGTTAACAATGCTGCAGAGGATAAGTTCATTAGAGTTACCAGCCTCAGAAATTGCAGCCCAAATAAATGCTTCACAGAGTTCAAGTAACAGACACATCTCAACATCAACTGTTCAGAGGAGACTGCGTGAATCAGGCCTTCATGGTCGAATTGCTGCAAAGAAACCACTACTAAAGGACACCAATAATAAGAGACTTGCTTGTGCCAAGAAACATGAGCAAAAGACATTAGACTGGTGGAAATCTGTCCTTATTTGAGATTTTTGGAAGAGGAGATGTGATGGTGTGGGGTAGCTTTGCTGGTGACACTGTCTGTGAATTATTTAGAATTCAAGGCACACTTAACCAGCATGGCTATCACAGCATTCTGCAGCAATATGCCATCCCATCTGGTTTGGGCTTAGTGGGACTATCATTTGTTTTTCAACAGGACAATGACCCAACACACCTCCAGGCTGTCTAAGGGCTATTTTACGAAGAAGGAGAGTGATGGAGTGCTGCATCAGATGACCTGGCCTCCACAATCACCCAACCTCAACCTAATTAAGATGGTTTGGGATGAGTTGGACCAGAGAGTGAAGGAAAAGCAGCCAACAAGTGCTCAGCATATGTGGGAACTCCTTCAAAACTGTTGGAAAAGCATTCCAGGTGAAGCTGGTTGAGAGAATGCCAAGAGTGTGCAAAGCTGTCATCAAGGCAAAGGGTGGCTATTTGAAGAACCTCAAATATAAAATATATTTTGATTTAACACTTTTTTAGTTACTCCATGATTCCATGTGTTATTTCATAGTTTTGATGTCTTCACTCTTATTCTATAATTTAGAAAATAGTTAAAAATAAAGAAAAACCCTGGAATGAGTAGGTGTGTCCAAACATTTGACTGGTACTGTATGTATGCATGTATGCATGCATGTATGTATCTACAGTGAAGGAAAAAAGTATTTGATCCCCTGCTGATTTTGTACGTTTGGCCACTGACAAAGAAATGATCAGTCCATAATTTTAATGGTAGGTTTATTTGAACAGTGAGAGACAGAATAACAACAACAAAATCCAGAAAAACACATGTCAAAAATGTTATAAATTGATTTTCATTTCAATTAGGGAAATAAGTATTTGACCCCCTCTCAATCAGAAAGATTTCTGGCTCCCAGGTGTCTTTTATACAGGTAACGAGCTGAGATTAGGAGCACACTCTTAAAGGGAGTGCTCCTAATCTCAGCTTGTTACCTGTATAAAAGACACCTGTCCACAGAAGCAAGCAATCAAACTCTCCACCATGGCCAAGACCAAAGAGCTCTCCAAGGATGTCAGGGACAAGATTGTAGACCTACACAAGGCTGGAATGGGCTACAAGACCATCGCCAAGCAGCTTGGTGAGAAGGTGACAACAGTTGGTGCGATTATTCGCAAATGGAAGAAACATAAAAGAACTGTCAATCTCCCTCTGCCTGGGGCTCCATGCAAGATCTCACCTCATGGAGTTGCAATGATCATGAGAACGGTGAGGAATCAGCCCAGAACTACACAGGAGGATCTTGTCAATGATCTCAAGGCAGCTGGGACCATAGTCACCAAGAAAACAATTGGTAACACACTACGCCGTGAAGGACTGAAATCCTGCAGCGCCCGCAAGGTCCCCCTGCTCAAGAAAGCACATATATATGCCCATCTGAAGTTTGCCAATGAACATCTGAATGATTCAGAGGAGAACTGGGAGGAAAGTGTTGTGGTCAGATGAGACCAAAATCGAGCTCTTTGGCATCAACTCAACTCGCCGTGTTTGGAGGAGGAGGAATGCTGCCTATGACCCCAAGAACACCATCCCCACCGTCAAATATGGAGGTGGAAACATTATGCTTTGGGAGTGTTTTTCTGCTAAGGGGACAGGACAACTTCACCGCATCAAAGGGACGATGGACAGGGCCATGTACCGTCAAATCTTGGGTGAGAACCTCCTTCCCTCAGCCAGGGCATTGAAAATGGGTCGTGGATGGGTATTCCAGCATGACAATGACCCAAAACACACGGCCAAGGCAACAAAGGAGTGGCTCAAGAAGAAGCACATCAAGGTGCTGGAGTGGCCTAGCCAGTCTCCAGACCTTAATCCCATAGAAAATATGTGGAGGGAGCTGAAGGTTCGAGTTGCCAAACGTCAGCCTCGAAACCTTAATGACTTGAAGAAGATCTGCAAAGAGGAGTGGAACAAAATCCCTCCTGAGATGTGTGCAAACCTGGTGGCCAACTACAAGAAACGTCTGACCTCTGTGATTGCCAACAAGGGTTTTGCCACCAAGTACTAAGTCATGTTTTGCAGAGGGGTCAAATACTTATTTCCCTCATTAAAATGCAAATCAATTTCTAACATTTTTGACATGCGTTTTTCTGGATTTTTTTGTTTTTTATTCTGTCTCTCACTGTTCAAATAAACCTACCATTAAAATGATATACTGATCATTTCTTTGTCAGTGGGCAAACGTACAAAATCAGCAGGGGATCAAATACTTTTTTCCATCACTGTATGTATGTATGTATGCATGCATGCATACATGCATACATACATGCATACATGCATACATGCATACATGCATACATGCATACATGCATCTCACTGGCTATTTATTATACTCATCATATTTATTACACTAACAAATAGTTTTGTTACCATAAGTGATTTGGTTTGCATTGTATATGCATGTAACTATATGATGTGGTTATTAATCAAGTAGACCAACATGTGTAATCACTGCAGGCTAAACTTAATCAATGTAGTTACACAACATGTAGTTAGTCACCTTCAAGCTATCCATGGCAGAACCAATCTTCACCGTTATCTTCTTGCCATGTGGAGACCTGTCAAATATGGGCTTAGCAAATTCTTTAAGATATTGCTCAAGCTCACAGGCAACAAGTGAACCATCCTGGGGCAGTCCTTCAGCCATTGAGAGTGCACCATACCCTGTGAACATGCCTATCTCTAGGATCCTCTTGGCTTTACTCATGTGGACCAGCATTTTCAGAGTCTGGCCTGCCAATGAAACATCAAGACAAATATTTAGCACTTCTTAAAATATGCATCTCTCTAACCAACCATCCACACAACTGTACCCAATAGAGATGTCTCACCTTCCACAAGCCCAGTGATGCACTCTTTTGGAAGCCGAAACTGAGTCTTGCCCTCCTCGAATACTTTATCCCAGTTGTGTTCCATTGTTTTCCTACACATCCATATGAGTTTAAGTAAGAAATGTGCATGAGAAACCATCCATGTGAACTGTGTCTGTGGGACAGACAAGGGAAATACTCACTTATACAGCTCAGCAAGAGGTGCACTTTCCTGGCTACTCATTTTCTCCAGGTAGCCGTCTAGACCACACGCTATGTCCAGGGCCTTCTGTAGGTTGACCCTCAGTTCCTCTGGAATGTTGGCATTGCTATCTGCTATCTCCTTGGCTTTGGTTAAGAAATCCACCATGAATTCCATCGGTGTGTCAGAGACTGCAGAGAACACAAGACGAAAACTGTACACAAGCCTATAAAGTATAGGCCTAATGAGTACAGTAGGCGATGATACTAATGAAAAATGTGAGACAGGGAGGGGGGAGAAAAAGGTGATTATGGTGAAGGTATACAGTGAAGGAGTGATTCTAATGACACATATGTTATAATAATATGGAATTCCAGTGGTATAAAGTACTTCAGTAAAAATACATTAAAGTCCTACTTAAGTTGTTTTTTGGGGGTATCTGTACTTTAATATTGATATTTTTGACAACTTTTACTCCACTACACTCCTAAAGAAAATAATGTAGTTTTCACTCCATGCATTTTCCATGACACCCAAAAGTACTTGTTACATATCGAATGCTTAGCAGGTCAGGAAAATTGTCCAATTCACACACTTATCAAGAGAACATCCCTGGTCCTCCCTACTGCCTCTGATCTGGCGGACTCACTAAACACAAATGCTTCGTTTGTAAATGATGTCCGAGTGTTGGAGCATGCCCCTGGCTATCTGTAAATAAAAATAACAAAATACATTTGTGCCATCTGGTTTGCTTCATATAAACAATGTGAAATTATTTATAATTTAGCAATTACATTTACTTTTGATACTTAAGTATATTTAAAAACAAATACTTTTACTCAAGTAGTATTTTGCTGGGTGACTTACTAGAGTCATTTTCTATTATGATATCTTTAATTTTACTCAAATATGACAGTTGGGTACTTTTCACACCACTGGAAAATTCACAGACTACTCTGTCATGACAGAACTATACCACTAGATGGACATAGAGCTCTTGGAAGGACTGATGAGAACTATAAATAACTGCAACTGGTGGGGTTATAATTTTGGTATATGGATTTTCACCATTGGAGAGGAACATCGTATTTGCGGCTAGGAACACACATCTCTGTATGTTCCTAGAGATGCGGTAATGAAGTCAATGGAACTCGACCAAAACAATGGAAATGCGTGGTGAAAAGACGCCTCCTACATTTTGGCTATTGTTTGTGTATTTCACACTGTTGATGTAAAAATCGGCGTATACTGCTTGTATGGATGTCAACCCCAATACATGTTCATGTCATCGTCACCAATCAACTGCATTACAGTTAAAAACGACTAAGGGGATGGCTGCCGTTTTATGGACTCTTAACCAACCGTGCTATTTTGTGTTTTTTTCACATTGTTTTTAACTTATTTTGTACAAAATGTTGCTGCTACCTTCTCTTATAAGAGCTTCTGGACATCAGAACAACATAATTTTTATTTTATGAGTCGGACGAGAGAGATTTGCTCCAGACAGCCGACAGGGCCCTCATCCACGTCATTCGCAGTACAAAGAAAAGGAGATATCGTGGAAGGAGATCGGGGTGCTTGCTAATGAGCCGGTGACGAGTTGGCAATCTGCCTTTGCCATCGATACTATTGGCCAACTTACAATCGCTTGATAATAAAATGGACGAACTACAGGCACGAATATCCTACCAACGGGACATTAAAAACTGTAATATCTTATGTTTCACAGAGTCGTGGCTGAACGATGACATGAATAACATACAGCTGGCGGGTGGTGGTCTATGTATATTTGTAAACAACAGCTGGTGCACGATACGTGAGGAAGTCTCGAGGTTTTGCTCGCCTGAAGTAGAGTATCTCATTATAAGCTGTAGACCACACTATCTACCAAGAGAGTTTTCATCTACATTTTTCGTAGCTGTCCATTTACCACCACAAACCGATGCTGGCACTAAGACCGCACTCAGTTAACTTTATACAGCCATAAGCAAACAGGAAAACGCTCATCTAGAGGTGGCGCTCCTAGTGGCCGGGGACTTTAATGCAGGGAAACAAATCAGTTTTACCTCATTTCTACCAGCATGTTAAATGTGCAACCAGAGGGAACGAAACTCTCCCTTGCCCTCCATTTGGAAAATCTGACCATAATTCTATCCTCATGATTCCTGCTTACAAGCAAAAACTAAAGCAGGAAGCACCAGTGACTCGGTCAATATAAAAGTGGTCAGATGAAGCAGATGCTAAGCTACAGGACTGTTTTGCTAGCACAGACTGGAATATGTTCCGGGATTCTTCCGAAGGCATTGAGGAGTACACCACATCAGTCACTGGCTTCATCAATAAGTGCAACCAGAAGCCATGGATTACAGGCAACATCCACACTGAGCTAAAGGGTAGTGCTGCCGCTTTCAAGGAGCGGGACTCTAACCCGGATGCTTATAAGAAATCCCGCTATAACCTCAGACGAACCATCAAACAGGCAAAGCATCAATACAGGACTAAGATCGAATCGTACTACACCGGCTCCGACGCTCGTTGGACGTGGCAGGGCTTGCAAACTATTACAGACTACAAAGGGAAGCACAGCCGCGAGCTGCCCAGTGACACAAGCCTACCAGACAAGCTAAATTACTTCTATGCTCGCTTCGCGGCAAATAACACTGAACCATGCATGAGAGCATCAGCTGTTCCGGATGACTGTGTGATCACGCTCTCCGTAGCCGATGTGAGTAAGACCTTTAAACAGGTCAACATTCACAAGGCCGCAGGGCCAGACGGATTACCAGGACGTGTACTCCGAGCATAAGCTGACCAACTGGCAAGTGTCTTCACTGACATTTTCAACTTCTCCCTGTCTGAGTCTGTAATACCAACATGTGTCAAGCAGACCACCATAGTCCCTGTGCCCAAGAACACTAAGGTAACCTGCCTAAATGACTACCGACCCATAGCACTCACGTCTGTAGCCATGAAGTGCTTTGAAAGGCTGGTCATGACTCACATCAACACCATTATCCCAGAAACCCTAGACCCACTCCAATTTACATATCGCCCCAACAGATCCACAGATGATGCAATCTCTATTGCGCTCCACACTGCCCTTTCACACCTGGACAAAAGGAACACCTATGTGAGAATGCTATTAATTGACTACAGCTCAGCGTTCAACACCATAGTGGCCTCAAAGCTCATCACTAAGCTAAGGACCCTGGGACTAAACACCTCCCTCTGCAACTGGATCCTGGACTTCCTGACGGGCCGCCTCCAGGTGGTAAGGGTAGGTAACAACACATCCGCCATGCTGATCCTCAACACGGGTGCCCCTCAGGGGTGCGTGCTCAGTCCCCTCCTGTACTCCCTGTTCACTCATGACTGCATGGCCAGGCACGACTCCAACACCATCATTACATTTGCCGATGACACAACAGTGGTAGGCCTGATCACCGACAGCGACGAGACAGCCTATAGGGAGGAGGTCAGAAACCTGGCCGTGTGGTGCCAGGACAACAACCTCTCCCTCAACGTGATCAAGACAAAGGAGATGATTGTGGGGGGCTGTAGTGGAGCAGGTTGAGAGCTTCAATTTCCTTGGTGTCCACATCACCAACAAACTAACACGGTCCAAGCACACCAAGACAGTCGTGAAGAGGGCATGACAAAACCTATTCCCTCTAAGGAGACTGAAAAGATTTGGCATGGGTCTTCAGATCCTCAAAAGGTTCTACAGCTGCACCATCGAGAGCATCCTGACTGTTTGCATCACTGCCTGGTATGGCAACTGCTCGGCCTCCGACCGCAAGGCACTACAGAGGGTAGTGTCCCAGTACATAACCCTCCCGAGTGGCGCAGTGGTCTAAGGCACTGCATCGCAGTGCTGGCTGTGCCACTAGAGATCCTGGTTCGAATCCAGGCTCTGTCGTAGCCGGCTGCGACCGGGAGACCCATGGGGCGGCGCACAATTGGCCCAGCATCGTCCAGGGTAGGGGAGGGAATGGCCGGCAGGTATGTAAGCTCAGTTGGTAGAGCATGCTGTGGGTTCGATTCCCACGGGGGGCCAGTATGAAAAATAAAAAAATAATGTATGCACTAACTCACTGTAAGTCGCTCTGGATAAGAGCGTCTGCAAAATGACTAAAACATTTTTACAAAATAAAAATAACTGGGGCCAAGCTTCCTGTCATCCAGAACCACTTTACAAGGCGGTGTCAGAAGAAGGCCCTAAAAATTGTCAAAGACTCCAGCCACCCTAGTCATAGAGCGTTCTCTCTGCTACCGCATGGCAAGCAGTACTGGAGCGCCAAGTCTAGGTCCAAGAGGCTTCTAAACAGCTTCTACGCCCAAGCCATAAGACTCATGAACATCTATTCAAATGGCTACCCAGACTATTTGCATTGCCCCCCACCCCTCTTTTACGCTGCTGCTACTCTCTGTTTATTATCTATGTATAGACACTTTAATAATTCTACCTACATGTAAATATTACCCCTATTACCTCGACTAACCGGTGCCCCCGCACATTGACTCGGTACCAGTACCCCCTGTATATAGCCTCGCTAATGTTAATTTTACTGCTGCTCAATTTTTTTTTGGTATTCTTTCTTAAAACTGCAATGTTGGTTTAGGGCTTGTAAGTAAATATTGACCTGTAAGGTCTACACCCGTTGTATTCGCCGCATGTGACAAATAACATTTAATTTGATTTGAATTATGTATGCTAGCGTTACTACGAACGGGTGTTAGCAAACTAGCATTAGCAGTCACTTATTCTAAACCTGAAAAGGGACAAATTCTAAATGTTATGCAACGAAAACAACCAAATATATTCAAATTGGACGTTAGCAACTACATTGTGGGCATGTTACAATACATCAATCTTGATGGATTTGAAGAATTTCAACCCGTTTCAGTTGTGTAAATGGCTTTTGATTGATGGTTTACGAAACTCCGCTAAATAAGCTGCTAGTTTTTCACACGGTAGTTCCGCCCACGTGTCCGTTGACCTATCAGATCTGTCTATCCGTGTCAAACTTTTTGTGTAAACCTTTCGCAAAAAAGTGTTTTCTCCATGAGGGTATTTTTACTGACATCACGTGGGCGCAAACCGTATAACGCCGCTTTTCTCCTGTAGCCTATGTCTAATGGAGCTGACCTTCACGTGTATGCGAAAGACCAAGTCATGCGCTACTGTATGTCCATCTCAGGCATCCACACGTTAAAAAAGCCACTTGTGTAAAGAAATAAAATACTATGTTTCCATCATGTCTACACTTTTGTCATGAGGAGCTGAAGAGTTCAAATGAACCATGTAAAATGTGAAATCATTCAAATTATATAATAAAATAGAATGTATTCCCAGCCCAAACACAAAAAGACATGAATACCTTACTTCAAGTAGGTGCATATTTCCTATTATCATACATTTACTCTACATAAAAGGTTGATCTTAAACTGTGATCTTGGCTCATCCGAGACTGACATCTGCTTTTGTTGTCAGCTGCACGTTTTATTACTCTTTATTTTCAGGTGTAGGATCTTAATTTGATGAACCTGTTGCTGGACATCTTTCCTGCAATGCATATTCTATTTGAGGTTTAAAAATGCTTCTGAAGTTTGTAATTTCCACTTTGAAATGTCAAACCTGATGTTTCAAAATGTATCAAAATGTTAATTAATTATAATTCACATTTCCTGTTGCTGCAGGCTTATTTTCCTGCTGTACCAAACTGGCTCAAATTAAGATGCTACATGTATATTTACTCTTCAAACAGAACACCATGAACTCACCAGATGCGCCCAGATGAAAAAGGGTCAACTGAATGTGCTTGTATACAGTAACTGGTCAGGTTAACCTCTAACAGGTTGACATATTTTTTTCATATAGAATGTAGGCTAAATAATTATAGAGACTATTTTGGAGGGGGGGGGGGGGATCCCTCTTTACATAAATCTATAGTTTCATTGCGTCACTCCCAAACATTGTGTAAGGATCATGTTGGGGCATGTGTTACACAATGGTTTTGGCTACACTTTCGTAAGCACACTGGAAATACTAGCTCCTCCCTTGGTAGAAGTGAAGTGATCTGCTGTCGAATATATATATATATATATATAGTGAGGGAAAAAATATTTGATCCCCTGCTGATTTTTTACGTTTGTCCACTGACAAATAAATGTTCAGTCTATAATTTTAATGGTAGGTTTATTTGAACAGTGAGAGACAGAATAACAACAAACAAATCCAGAAAAACGCATGTCAAAAATGTTATAAATTGATTTGCATTTTAATGAGGGAAATAAGTATTTGACCCCCTCTCAATCAGAAAGATTTCTGTCTCCCAGGTGTCTTTTAAACAGGTAACGAGCTGAGATTAGGAGCACACTCTTAAAGGGAGTGCTCCTAATCTCAGTTTGTTACCTGTATAAAAGACACCTGTCCACAGAAGCAATCAATCAATCAGATTCCAAACTCTCCACCATGGCCATGACCAAACAGCTCTCCAATGATGTCAGGGACAAGATTGTAGACCTACACAAGGCTGGAATGGGCTACAAGACCATCGCCAAGCAGCTTGGTGAGAAGGTGACAACAGTTGTTGCGATTATTCGCAAATGGAAGAAACACAAAAGACCTGTCAGTCTCCCTTGGCCTGGGGCTCCATGCAAGATCTCACCTCATGGAGTTGCAATGATCATGAGAACGGTGAGGAATCAGCCCAGAACTACACGGGAGGATCTTGTCAATGATCTCAAGGCAGCTGGGACCATAGTCACCAAGAAAACAATTGGTAACACACTACACCGTGAAGGACTGAAATCCTGCAGCACCCGCAAGGTCCCCCTGCTCAAGAAAGCACATATACATGCCCGTCTGAAGTTTGCCAATGAACATCTGAATGATTCAGAGGAGAACTGGATGAAAGTGTTGTGGTCAGATGAGACCAAAATCGAGCTCTTTGGCATCAACTCAACTCGCCGTGTTTGGAGGAGGAGGAATGACCTTAATCCCATAGAAAATCTGTGGAGGGAGCTGAAGGTTCGAATTGCCAAACGTCAGCCTCGAAACCTTAATGACTTGGAGAAGATCTGCAAAGAGGAGTGGAACAAAATCCCTCCTGAGATGTGTGCAAACCTGGTGGCCAACTACAAGAAACGTCTGACCTCTGTGATTGCAAACAAGGGTTTTGCCACCAAGTACTAAGTCATGTTTTGCAGAGGGGTCAAATACTTATTTCCCTCATTAAAATGCAAATCAATTCATAACATTTTTGACATGCATTTTTCTGGATTTTTGTGTTGTTATTCTGTCTCTCACTGTTCAAATAAACCTACCATTAAAATTATAGACTGATCATGTCTTTGTCAGTGGCCAAACGTACAAAATCAGCAGGGGATCAAATACGTTTTTCCCTCACTGTATATATACACACACACACACACACACACACACACACACAGAGAGAGTAATGAGAGGTCACTCATTAGCTTCCTATACATAAATCTATATCAAGATGTCTGTTGTTGCAAACACTGTCAAGACACATGTGGAAGAGCCAATGGAATGCAACAATATTGCAGTAATAAAGAAGAACGAGTTTCACTTAGTTCAAGTCAAGGGCACATGGAAACGCAAAACTGGAAATAATTTCATTAAAAACTTAAAGGGTTGAGTATCAGCTGCCAAGATGTGAGTAAAAACTTGTATTAAAATATAATTAAGGGATGCAATTGATTCAAATAAATTAAAACGTTATGCAAAATATAAGGTTTGTGCACATTATCATCATACAAAGGATAATGATTTTATACGGTTTATACATCTAAATTAGTTTTCTTGATATTAGCATTATTTTTTAGACTCACTAGCTTGACTTTAAGTAAAAAAAAAAGAAGTAGCCTCCCACTGGGCAAAACTTTTTTGGGGAAAACTGATTGGATTTGCAAAAAATCATCAATGTAATGGAATGTAATATTTTTTTTAAACCAACTTTTAACCTAAATCCAATGGCATGGTGAATTTTGGACGTTTGTGCCTAGAGGGCTTGCACAAGCCTTGGCTTGGCTTGATTCGATTCGGAATGGCTCATAGGAGCTCATAGGAGCAGGAGACTATCCCCTGTTTCTGTAGCGTGAGGCATCTTGATGTACAAGTACACCCCCTGGACAGGACACTAGTCTCCTTAATACTGAGTGCCAAGCAGAGACTCATCAGGTCCCATTTTTACAGTATTTGGTATGACTAAGCCTGAGATCCAGGGCCGGCACCAGAACTAATCAGTTGGATGGGCATTTGATTTCTACAGGCGGCCCGGTTTTTTTTCACGGGACTTCCTGTGTGCACCAATTTTGTTCATGGGTGTTATAATAAAGACCATAGGCAGCTCGTGGGTTTCAAGTTTGGGGAAGCTTACAATTTATCCCAATTTCTACCTATCTGCGTGTCAGTTATGATTATTTTTATATGCGCTTTTTCGTGGAACAGTTTCATTTCAATACTAATGTCTTCATTTCTCTAAATGATTGTTGCGTGGTTAATCATACAGATATTAATTTAAATGATAAAAATCTATCAGTTAAAATTCAACTGATGCAAGAGCACCAGCCTTTGCCATATGGACACATTGATAGCCTACACCGTGATCCAGTCGCGGTTAAAGAAATTAGCGCATGGAACTCAGAGCAGTAGGCCTATAACTTCCATCTTCAACTAAGTAAAATACATAGGCCTAAAGCCAACAAATGAAAACAGTAGAAACTATCCTGATAAAAATGCAGGTTCTTTCAATTGCATTAATCTCTCTACTCCGCCTGTCTGCCTCCCTTTCTATCTGTCTTGATTTGAGCTCTAGCTAGTGAAGTGCAACATTGAATCAACTCAGCAGGTTGGCGTGCTGAGGCGCATGCGCTCTCTCAAAGTTATCAGGACAGAGAAACCACACACATGCTCATTGCTCACATGGACCACTCCAAACAAAAGACAATGAAAAAATTGACAAAACTCCTAAATGATGGTTATGAAATTAACCAAAACTTGTTTCTCACAAGTGTAGCAGGTTGTGAACTCTAAACAACATTTGCACTCCGAGAATGAGAACGGCAAATAACTGTAATACAGGCATTAACATAGATTAATGTAACCAAATGACGGAGATTAACGGAACATTTACTAAGAATATTTTCGCCATACACCCCTCCCCTTCTTCTTGTCTCAACATTTTAAATTATACTCAAGACACATTATCTTCACACATTTAGATTATTTTCACTGACAGCCACAACTCAATAATTAGCTAGGCCTATTGCCATGCTCGCTGCCCAAATTGCTGGCTTTCCAAATAGGCATAGGCCTATGCACTTGTGATAATCCACAGCAATTTAAAAAAAAGAAGCTAATGATCCTCTATGGCTAAATCAAGCTCGCTGGTAAAGTCTTTTGACTGGAGTAATTATATAATTTTGGCAAAACATCCATTTACTTTAGGGAAAGCCAGAATCCGAACAGTGCTAACTTTCCGTTCTAATTCACATGTGGCTGAAAGCAGAGATCTGTGTATAATGACGAGATGCTCATATCTCCACCCTAACAATGCAAGTCGTTGTCCCGAAGGTGGGAATGCAGGCGATAAGCTTAGGTCTGCATATTATGCCCATAGAAACGCATTGGGTTTATTCAGGACAGAGTTTGTCGAGAGCCCTCTCACTTGGCCTCTTCCTCTCTGCTGAAACTAACGAGCGAAACAGCGCTGCTCTGTCTTACTATATGTAGCCCATGTATATGACATGCCAAACTCCTTTTGTCCAGATAGCATCAGATACATTGTTTACACAGCTTTGTTCTCTAAACATTTACTGTACATACTGTACTGTACATAAATTACTCTGACAAATACATCACATGTTCCAGCTATGAGAGCACCACGGAGCAAGGCACCTCCTGGACAGTGGTCAGCCCTATCGTCTTCACTTACAAGGTGACTGAGTCCCTGGGCCTGCTGGACCCCAGCAACGACACCCTGCTCCTGGGGCACATTAGGGACCCCCAGCAGCTGGAGGCCCTGAGGAACAGCATCAGCACCAAGCCCCTCAGGCGCTTCGTGGTCATGGACCAGACCGTCTACAACCTCTACGGCTGCCAGCTCACAGACTACTTTGAGGCCCGTAATGTTCTCTACAGGATCCTGCCCCTGCCCACCACCGAGGAGAACAAGTCCATGGAGCTTGTGATGAGGATCCTTGAGGAGGTGATTATGGTGAAGGTATACAGTGAATGAGTGATTCTAATGACACATATGTTATAATAATATGGAATTCCAGTGGTGTAAAGTACTTCAGTAAAAATACTTTAAAGTACTACTTAAGTCGTTTTTTGGGGGTATCTGTACTTTAATATTGATATTTTTGACAACTTTTACTCCATTACATTCCTAAAGGAAAGAATGTACTTTTTATTCCATACATTTTCCATGACACCCAAAAGTACTTGTTACATATCGAATGCTTAGCAGGTCAGGAAAATTGTCCAATTCACACACTTATCAAGAGAACATCCCTGGTCCTCCCTACTGCCTCTGATCTGGCGGACTCACTAAACACAAATGCTTCGTTTGTAAATGATGTCCGAGTGTTGGAGCATGCCCCTGGCTATCTGTAAATAAAAATAACAAAATACATTTGTGCCATCTGGTTTGCTTCATATAAACAATGTGAAATTATTTATAATTTAGCAATTACATTTACTTTTGATACTTAAGTATATTTAAAACCAAATACTTTTACTCAAGTAGTATTTTGCTGGGTGACTTACTAGAGTCATTTTCTATTATGATATCTTTAATTTTACTCAAATATGACAGTTGGGTACTTTTCACACCACTGGAAAATTCACAGACTACTCTGTCATGACAGAACTATACCACTAGATGAAGCTCTTGGAAGGACTGATGAGACCTATAAATAACTGCAACTGGTGGGGTTATAATTTTGGTATATGGATTTTCACCATTGGAGAGGAACGTCGTATTTGCGGCTAGGAACACACATCTCTGTATGTTCCTAGAGATGCGGTAATGAAGTCAACGGAACTCGACCAAAACAATGGAAATGAGTGGGGAAAAGACGCCTCCTACATTTTGGCTATTGTTTGTGTATTTCACACTGTTGATGTAAAAATCGGAGTATCCTGCTTGTATGGATGTCAACCCCAATACATGTTCATGTCATCGTCACCAATCAACTGCATTACAGTTAAAAACGACTTACTACCACCACCGATAGCTGTATGCTAGCGATACTACGAACGGGAGTTAGCAAACTAGCATTAGCAGTCACTTATTCTAAACCTGAAAAGGGACAAATTCTAAATGTTATGCAGCGAAAACAGCCAAATATATTCAAATCGGAAGTTAGTAACTACATTGTGGGCATGTTACAATACATCAATCTTGACGAATATTCACTTTGTTAGATCAGATTTGTTGAATGTGCGCCAATCCGGCGTCATAGAAAATAGTCCCGCACCACCGTCTGCGTTCCATGCATTGACCTCTTAACCGCATCTAATTAGGCCTATATGTAGGTTATTTCATTCAATTAAAATTAATATAAATGTTTCATTTTATAAAGCAAAAATAGTGGATTATTATGAGTGGACTATTCAAGTGTCCTACCATCTTTCCAGTTGATCTTTCCCCGCGACATTCTGCTGCATCCTACAGGCAGCAACTAAGTTAACTAAAGTCAGCCCAGCCACATTCATTATTTCGAGCTTCTGCATTGCCATCATACTCATAGCTAGTTCTGTGAGAAAAACCCAACATACCTTTGGCAGCCTGCATTGTGAATTTCCACGGCGTTCGTAAGACAAAATACACAACAAGTTGTCAAATCTGTTTGCTCCCACGAAGGGCGACTGGCGAAGCAGCTGTCTATCTATATACCTTAAAACCCGTTTCAGTTGTGTAAATGGATTTTGATTGATGGTTTACGAAACTCCCCGAAATAAGCTGCTAGTTTTTCACACGGTAGTCCTGCCCACGTGTCCGTTGACCTATAAGATCTGTCTATCCGTGTCAAACTTTTTGTGTAAACCTTTCGCAAAAAAGTGTTTTCTCCATGAGGGTATTTTTACTGACATCACGTGGGCGCAAACCGTATAACGCCGCTTTTCTCCTGTAGCCGATGTCTAATGGAGCTGACCTTCACGTGTATGCGAAAGACCAAGTCATGCGCTACTGTATGTCCATCTCAGGCATCCACACGTTAAAAAAGCCACTTTGTGTAAAGAAATAAAATACTATGTTTCCATCATGTCTACACTTTTGTCATGAGGAGCTGAAGAGTTCAAATGAACCATTTAAAATGTGAAATAATTCAATTGATATAATAAAATAGAATGTATTCCCAGCCCAAACACAAAAAGACATGAATACCTTACTTCAAGTAGGTGCATATTTCCTATTATCATACATTTACTCTACATAAAAGGTTGATCTTAAACTGTGATCTTGGCTCATCCGAGACTGACATCTGCTTTTGTTGTCAGCTGCACGTTTTATTACTCTTTATTTTCAGGTGTAGGATCTTAATTTGATGAACCTGTTGCTGGACATCTTTCCTGCAATGCATATTCTATTTGAGGTTTAAAAATGCTTCTGAAGTTTGTAATTTCCACTTTAAAATGTCAAACCTGATGTTTCAAAATGTATCAAAATGTTAATTAATTATAATTCACATAATAATTCACATTTCCTGTTGCTGCAGGCTTATTTTCCTGCTGTACCAAACTGGCTCAAATTAAGATGCTACATGTATATTTACTCTTCAAACAGAACACCATGAACTCACCAGATGCGCCCAGATGAAAAAGGGTCAACTGAATGTGCTTGTATACAGTAACTGGTCAGGTTAACCTCTAACAGGTTGACATATTTTTTTCATATAGAATGTAGGCTAAATAATTATAGAGACTATTTTGGAGGGGGGGGGGGGGGGGGGGGGGGGGGGATCCCTCTTTACATAAATCTATAGTTTCATTGCGTCACTCCCAAACATTGTGTAAGGATCATGTTGGGGCATGTGTTACACAATGGTTTTGGCTACACTTTCGTAAGCACACTGGAAATACTAGCTCCTCCCTTGGTAGAAGTGAAGTGATCTGCTGTCGAGAATATATATATATATATATATACACAGAGAGTAATGAGAGGTGAACATTATGCTCCATTAGGTTACTTGACTCTGCATCGGTCACTCATTAGCTTCCAATACATAAATCTATATCAAGATGTCGCTTGTTGCAAACACTGGGAAGACACATGTGGAAGAGCCACTGGAATGCAACAATATTGCAGTAATAAAGAAGAACGAGTTTCAATTAGTTCAAGTCAAGGGCACATGGAAACGCAAAACGGGAAATAATTTTAATAAAAACTTAAAGGGTCGAGTATCAGCTGCCAAGATGTGAGTAAAAACTTATATTAAAATATAATTAAGGGATGCAATTGATTCAAATAAATTAAAACGGTATGCAAAATATAAGGTTTGTGCACATTATCACGATACAAAGGATAATGATTGTATATCTAAATTAGTTTTCTTTATATTAGCATGCTTTTTTAGACCCACTAGCTTGACTTTAAGTAAAAAAAACTGGGAAAAAACTTCCATGGAAAACTGATTGGATGTAAGGGAATGTAGTATTTTTTTTTAACCAACTTTTAACCAAAATCCAATGGCATGGTGAATTTTTTGGGGGATTCAAGTTAGTTGACAACTAAACCAAATGTACATCAAAACTAGATGTGTTGAACTGACGTTTGTGCCTAGAGGGCTTGCACAAGCCTTGGCTTGGCTTGATTGGATTCGGAATGGCTCATAGGAGCTCATAGGAGCAGGAGACTATCCCCTGTTTCTGTAGCGTGAGGCATCTTGATGTACAAGTACACCCCCTGAACAGGACACTAGTGTCAAAGTTGTGTCAATTCAAATCTGGTATTAGGAACAAAAGAGGTCAACACGACTTCTAAGATATACTAGTTATTTTAATTAATGCAAAAACCTTCAATGGTAAATATGATGTTTCGTATATACGGGCTCTTTGAAATACCTCGCAGGGCACTTCAGAGAACTAATCCATTGTTCCAGGTTCAATATTCAAATACTCTGACAGAGAGAGTTTCCCACCTCTCTGCTGGCCAATCAGAGCAAAGACTTGAGCTTGGTTTAGACTTACTCAGCAATCCGTTGATGAACCCCTGTTGCCAGGCATAAGTCCATATCATAACAACCTGTCATAGTGAGAAGAGCCAGCTCCCTTAGACACCATTCCTACGTCCAAGGAAGGTTCACAGATCACAAAGAACCAGTATATTCCAGTATCTGGAGACACAAATCCCTATCTCATCTTACCCCCCAAAACAGCTCTTCACATCAATCACAGCCTGCCAGGTGACACAACCTACATTAGCCCAGTCAAGAAAGCATTCTTTCTAAGTTAGTCATCCCATCAATTATAAAAAATAATACATCTCTCACACTAGTCTCCTTAAAACTGAGTGCCAAGCAGAGACTCATCAGGTCCCATTTTTACAGTATTTGGTATGACTAAGCCTGAGATCCAGGGCCGGCGCCAGAACGAATCAGTTGGATGGGCATTTGATTTCTATAGGCGGCCCGGTTTTTTTCACGGGACTTCCGGTGTGCACGCGCTTGCACCAATTTTGTTAGGGTGTTATAATAAAGACCATAGGCAGCTCGTGGGTTTCAAGTTTGGGGAAGCTTACAATTTATCCCAATTTCTACCTATCTGCGTGCCAATTATTATTATTTTTATATGCGCTTTTTCGTGGAACAGTTTCATTTCAATAATAACGTTTTCGATTCTCAAAATTATTGTCACGTGGTTAATCATACAAATATTATTTTCAATGATAAAAATCTATCAGTTAAAATTCAACTAATGCAAGAGCACCAGCCTTTGCCATATGGACACATTGATAGCCTACACCGTGATCCAGTCGCGGTTAAAGAAATTAGCGCATGGAACTCAGAGCAGTAGACCTATAACTTCCATCTTCAACTAAGTAAAATACATAGGCCTAAAGCCAACAAATGAAAACAGTAGAAACGATCCTGATAAAAATGCAGGTTCTTTCAATTGCATTAATCTCTCTACTCCGCCTGTCTGCCTCCCTTTCTATCTGTCTTGATTTGAGCTCTAGCTAGTGAAGTGCAACATTGAATCAACTCAGCAGGTTGGCGTGCTGAGGCGCATGCGCTCTCTCAAAGTTATCAGGACAGAGAAACCACACACATGCTCATTGCTCACATGGACCACTCCAAACAAAAGACAATGAAAAAATTGACAAAACTCCTAAATGATGGTTATGAAATAAACCAAAACTTGTTTCTCACAAGTGTAGCAGGTTGTGAACTCTGTAAACAACATTTGCACTCCGAGAATGAGAACGGCAAATAACTGTAATACATGCATTAACATAAATTAATGTAACCAAATGACGGAGATTAACGGAACATTTACTAAGCATATTTTCGCCACAAACCCCTCCCCTTCTTCTTGTCTCAACATTTTAAATTATACTCAAGACACATTATCTTCACACGTTTTAGATGGTTTTCACTGACAGCCACAACTTAATAATCAGCTAGGCCTATTGCCACGTTCGCTGCCCAAATTGCTGGCTTTCCAAATAGGCATAGGCCTATGCACTTGTGATAATCCACAGCAATTTTTTAAAAAGAAGCTAATGATCCTCTATGGCTAAGTCAAGCTCACTGGTAAAGTCTTTTGACTGGAGTAATTATATAATTTTGGCAAAACATCCATTTACTTTAGGGAAAGCCAGAATCCGAACAGTGCACCCGCTAACTTTCCGTTCTAATTCACATGTGGCTGAAACCAGAGATCTGTGTATAATGACGAGATGCTCATATCTCCACCCTAACAATGCAAGTCGTTGTCCCGAAGGTGGGAATGCAGGCGATAAGCTTAGGTCTGCATATTATGCCCATAGAAACGCATTGGGTTTATTCAGGACAGATTTTGTCGAGAGATCCCTCTCACTTGGCCTCTTCCTCTCTGCTGAAACTAACGAGCGAAACAGCGCCACTCTGTCTTACTATATGTAGCCCATGTATATGACATGCCATACCCCTTTTGTCCAGATAGCATCAGATACATCGTCTACACATACGGAGACAGAGGGGCGCTGTTTCGCTCGCTCGGATGCTTTATCTGAGATTGTTGCGTCTTTCTGTCAGCGCGCGTCTTGGTCAAATACATTATAAATATTTCGATATTTTATTTGGACGGGCAGGCAAAGCCCTCCAGGACCCGCGTCATTTAGCAGACGCTCTTATCCAGAGCGACTTACAGTTAGTGAGTGCATACATTTTCATACTGGTCCCCCGTGGGAATCAAACCCACAACCCTGGCGTTGCAAGCACCATGCTCTACCAACTGAGCTACACAGGACTGCAGAGATTGAACTCCCAACCTTAGGACGGACACTCTTAACACAAGGCCAAAGAGTAGCTCAGTTGGTAGAGCATGGCGCTTGCAATGCCAGGGTTGTGGGGTCGATTCACACGGGGGGCCTGTATGAAAATGTATGCACTAACTGTAAATTGCTCTAGATTAGAGTGTCTGCTAAATGACTAAAATGTAAAAAAATTTAGACAATGGATGAAAGTGAAATATTTATTTCACCATGTGAATAGGTGGCATAATGATGTTTATCCAGCCATCACAACACTATCATAGTCATTTGCAAACACATTCTTCCACTTTATTTAGCTACCACCACAGAAAGTGAAATGGTGTGAAGTTACATTTACTCCCAGGCTTTGTTCTCTAAACATTTACTGTACATACTGTACTGTACATAAAATAATCTGACAAATACATCACATGTTCCAGCTATGAGAGCACCACGGAGCAAGGCACCTCCTGGACAGTGGTCAGCCCTATCGTCTTCACTTACAAGGTGACTGAGTCCCTGGGCCTGCTGGACCCCAGCAACGACACCCTGCTCCTGGGGCACATTAGGGACCCCCAGCAGCTGGAGGCCCTGAGGAACAGCATCAGCACCAAGCCCCTCAGGCGCTTCGTGGTCATGGACCAGACCGTCTACAACCTCTACGGCTGCCAGCTCACAGACTACTTTGAGGCCCGTAATGTTCTCTACAGGATCCTGCCCCTGCCCACCACCGAGGAGAACAAGTCCATGGAGCTTGTGATGAGGATCCTGGAGGAGGTCCATAAGTTCTCCTTGGACAGACGCACAGAGCCCATCATCGCCATCGGAGGAGGGGTCTGCCTGGATGTTGTGGGCCTGGCGGCTTCCCTGTACAGGAGACGCACCCCCTACATCCGTGTCCCGACCACCCTGCTCTCCTATGTCGATGCCAGCGTGGGGGCAAAGACTGGGGTGAACTTTGCCAACTGTAAAAATAAGCTAGGTGGCTACATACCCCCGGTGGCTGCTTTCCTAGACCGCTCCTTCCTTCAAACTGTTTCTCGAAGACACATCTCCAATGGGCTGGCCGAAATGTTAAAGGTACAGTGGCAATGCCTGAGAGCAACAGAGATGGATTGGATATATGACTGTCCATTAACTTAAGATACAATACTGTACTATCTGACTGTATACTGTAGAGAGCAATATACAGTACATCATCAGTCTTAGAGAATATGTTGATGCTCATTTAGCTCTGTAGATCGGGTTTTATGTACAGGTATTCAATGTAAATGTGTGTTCTACAGATGGCCTTGATGAAACACAGAGGTCTCTTTGAGCTTCTGGAGACCAACGGCCGGTTCCTGTTGGACTCAAAGTTCCAGTCTGACAGTGGTCTTCAGGGGGACAACAAAGATGCTGCCTCCGTGTCCACACGCATGGCCATAGAAACCATGCTAGAGGAGTTGGCCCCCAACCTGTGGGAGGACGATTTAGACAGACTGGTAGACTTTGGTCACCTTATCAGCCCAGAGCTGGAAATGGTACAGTACAACCAATTATGTACCGCTTCACTTTAAATAACCACAAAGTCAAATAGTTCCATAAGCTACTATATGTAACCGGGTTTGAACCAATATGTCATCATGTCATGTTTGTCACCTCTTGTTCCATTTTGAGTGTAACTATGTGTCAGATGAGCATGGTGTCAGGTTTACTCACATCTGTTCATGTTAGCTAGCGGCAATAAACAGTGTGGCTATGATCAATACTCCACTCTAAAGAGTTGTGCATGGATACAGTACTTAATGCTGAACCTCTTGATTGCAGAAGGTTCTCCCTTCCTTGCTGCACGGAGAGGCGGTGAACATCGATATGTCCTACATGGTGTACGTGGCCCGTGAGAGAGGCCTCATGACGGAGGAGGAGAAGCTGCGGATTATAGGCTGCATGGTGGGGCTGGAGCTGCCTGTGTGGCACCAGGACATTAACATGGCACTAGTGCAGCAGTCACTTTGCGAAAGGCTGAAACACTCTGGTGGGCTGGTCAGGATGCCTCTACCCATTGGCCTAGGGCACGCAGGTAAGGAGACAGACATGTATTTGTCAGCTAGAGTTCAGCACATTAACAAATATTAAAAATGCATATATTTTCAAAGCTGGCATTAACGATATCCTTTTTCTCTCCATCTGCAGAGATCTATAATGACACAGGTGATGACACCCTGTACAGAGCGTTTGAGAAGTGGTGTGATGAGCTGCGACCTCAGTGACCTGAACTAGTCCAAATATTTTGTATTGCTATAGATTATTTACTTTGAATGATTAAAAATATTAAAATAAGGATGTGGCATTTCTGCTTGACACATTGACACAGATATCTAGAATGCTCAACAATTGTTAATTAATGTAGGTGATATTTAGAAGGTCCTGTTGATTGTTCAGGTTGACTTGATTTGATAGAAAATGGCAAGCCCTGTATTGTCCTATTGAACAATACCAGCACCTCACAGTTTTACTACAACATTACAAAAAGGGGTTTATCAAAACTTTATGTATTATGACCTTGTATTGTTATTGATGTTTTTGATGTCTCAAATGTTTTCATTAAATACTTTTTAAGAAATGAAAACTTTTTGTGTCTTAAATACATAATTACAAACACTTATTTTTGGGAGCAATGCACTTTACAGTGGGGAAAACAAGTATTTAGTCAGCCACCAATTGTGCAAGTTCTCCCACTTAAAAAGATGAGAGAGGCCTGTAATTTTCATCATAGGACAAAATGAGAAGAAAAAAAATTTATTTGCAAATTATGGTGGAAAATAAGTATTTGGTCAATAACAAAAGTTTCTCAATACTTTGTTATATACCCTTTGTTGGCAATGACACAGGTCAAATGTTTTCTGTAAGTCTTCACAAGGTTTTCACACACTGTTGCTGGTATTTTGGCCCATTCCTCCATGCAGATCTCCTCTAGAGCAGTGATGTTTTGGGGCTGTCGCTGGGTAACACAGACTTTCAACTCCCTCCAAAGATTTTCTATGGGGTTGAGATCTGGAGACTGGCTAGGCCACTCCAGGACCTTGAAATGCTTCTTACGAAGCCACTCCTTCGTTGCCCGGGCGGTGTGTTTGGGATCATTTACATGCTGAAAGACCCAGCCACGTTTCATCTTCAATGCCCTTAAATAAATCGGTCATTTAGCAGACGCTCTTATCCAGAGCGACTTACAGGAGCAATTAGGGTTAAGTGCCTTGCTCAAGTGCACATCGACAGATTTTTCACCTAGTCGGCTCGGGGATTAGAACCAGCGACCTTTCGGTTACAGGCACAACACTCTTAACCACTAAGCTACCTGCCACCCCTTGCTGATGGAAGGAGGTTTTCACTCAAAATCTCACGATACATGGCCCCATTCATTCTTTCCTTTACACGGATCAGTCGTCCTGGTCCCTTTGCAGAAAAACAGCCCCAAAGCATGATGTTTCCACCCCCATGCTTCACAGTAGGTATGGTGTTCTTTGGATGCAACTTCTTTGTCCTCCAAACACGACGAGTTTAGTTTTTACCAAAAAGTTATATTTTGGTTTCATCTGACCATATGACATTCTCCCAATCCTCTTCTGGATCATCCAAATGCACTCTAGCAAACTTCAAACGGGCCTGGACATGTACTGGCTTAAGCAGGAGGATGCGTCTGGCACTGCAGGATTTGAGTCCCTGGCGGCGTAGTGTGTTACTGATGGTAGGCTTTGTTACTTTGGTCCCAGCTCTCTGCAGGTCATTCACTAGGTCCCCCCGTGTGGTTCTGGGATTTTTGCTCACCGTTCTTGTGATCATTTTGACCCCACGGGGTGAGATCTTGCGTGGAGCCCCAGATCGAGGGAGATTATCAGTGGTCTTGTATGTCTTCCATTTCCTAATAATTGCTCCCACAGTTGATTTCTTCAAACCAAGCTGCTTACCTATTGCAGATTCAGTCTTCCCAGCCTGGTGCAGGTCTACAATTTTGTTTCTGGTGTCCTTTGACAGCTCTTTGGTCTTGGCCATAGTGGAGTTTGGAGTGTGACTGTTTGAGGTTGTGGACATGTGTCTTTTATACTGATAACAAGTTCAAACAGGTGCCATTAATACAGGTAACGAGTGGAGGACAGAGGAGCCTCTTAAAGAAGAAGTTACAGGTCTGTGAGAGCCAGAAATCTTGCTTGTTTGTAGGTGACCAAATACTTATTTTCCACCATAATTTGCAAATCAATTCATTAAAAATCCTACAATGTGATTTTCTGGATTATTTTTCCTCATTTTGTCTGTCATAGTTTACGTGTACCTATGATGAAAATTACAGGCCTCTCTCATCTTTTTAAGTGGGAGAACATGCACAATTGGTGGCTGACTAAATACTTTTTTCCCCCACTGTAATATTGTACAAAATATGTATATTGAGGTTCAGTGAATATATTTTAGGGTGTTTTCACATATAGTCCTCTTTAAAAGAACCAATCTCAGTCCTCTTTGCATTCACATTGCTATGTTCAAAAAGTAACCAATATCTTTTTCCAACATTCACTCAATGCACTCTGGATGTTTACAAAGTTTAGGACAAGCCATTTCACCAGAACGTGTTACCGGACAGCTAGATATACCTACTTACATTTTGTAAGCTAATAGATTGCAATTAGTTAAAAGATTAGACATAATAATTGTAACCAGAAGATACTATTAACATGTAAATATTATTGGTAACAGAATAAATAGCAGAAGAATAACTGCAGATTAAATAATGTTGTAATTGAAAATTGTACACCCAATGTAGACTACTGCTAGAATAGATTTTGTACCCTATGTTGTGATTCTCACCAAATATGTTGGTGTCTTCTCACACTATTCAAACCCCACAATTGAATAAACTGGAGTTTTTATCCCTCGTCCCCAGTGAAAGTTGCGCCCCTGGTTCATACTGTACAAAAAATTAATGAATCGCACTGAGTTCACAAAAATTGTCTGTAAGGGACCAAGTGTGAAAACACCCTTAAACGACCCATAATATTTCTGAAATTAAAGGCACTTAATTGTTCACAGAGCTCCACTGATACACAACTGTATTGGGTAGGCGTGTCAAACATATGGCCCGTGGGGATATGGGGATGCTCTACCGAGATAACCCAATAGCGTGAAAAAAAAGTAATCGCACATGACGCATTCTCAGTATGCAAAAATATAACGTTTTATAGTATGTGAATTAAATGCCAGGATGTTATACTAATTTCGGCGTTTCGTCTAGTAGAATTCGCTGCACACTTTTTGGGAATTTCACAGCCACAATGCATTGGAAGAGGGGGGCTAAGAGTTTTGATAGCTAGATCTATTCTAGTAAACAACAAAACAACTTGTAATATGGGGAATAGCAAAGCTCCTGCAGTGGTGTTCAAATGTAAGTTGTTTTTGTTCTCCTTAAAATGATCACGACTATTTCATCGTATATCTTTGAAAACAGATTTGCAGCCTGCTGCCTTCTGTCCCTTTAGCTAGCTACATGCTTTAGTAGGACTAGAAGTTATAACTGTTCGAACACTAACGTTAGCTACAGGGTTACTTGCTGTTGAGCAACAAATTCATATTTAACATTAGACTAGTTAGCTAGCAAGCTAGTTTCATTGCACATAACCTGTTATGGTGAAAGTAATGGTAAGCTGCACTTGTTACTGTTTCACCTTGGCACTCCAATTTGATAAAGTATGTGGCAGTCTAGGTACAGAAAGTTCACACAACTCTGCTCACGTTTTGGTTAATGTTGTACTTCTTCTTATGTATTTTCAGGATCTAAGTGAATGAGTGTGAGCTGGAGGGGCAGCTGTCACCTGCAATTTATTTACATTAATTGCTGTACTGTTAATAAAAGTCCCCTTTTCTCTGAGAGCAACAACACTATCCCATCAATTTCTTATCCTTCACCTGCACATGCATGTACATTTCACATTTACATTTTAGTCATTTAGCAGACGCTCTTATCCAGAGCGACTTACAGGAGCAATTAGGGTTAAGTGCCTTGCTCAAGGGCACATTTACGTCATTTAGCAGACGCTCTTATCCAGAGCGACTCACCAATTGGTGCGTTCACCCTATAGCCAGTGGGATAACCACTTTACAATTTTTTTTTGGGGGGGGGGGGGGGGTAGAAGGATTACTTTATCCTATCCCAGGTATTCCTTAAAGAGGTGGGGTTTCAAATGCCTCCGGAAGGTGGTGAGTGACTCCGCTGTCCTGGCGTCGTGAGGGAGCTTGTTCCACCATTGGGGTGCCAGAGCATGTATGTGTGAAGATACAGTGCCTCTGGAAAGTATTCAGAACCCTTGACTTTTTCCAGATTTTGTTACGTTACAGCCTTATTCTAAAATGGATTAAATAAAAACAAATCCTCAGCAATCTACACACAATACCCCATAACAACAATGTATTCAGACCCTTTGCTATGAGGCTTGAAATTGAGCTCAGGTGCATCCTGTTTCCATTGATCATCCTTGAGATGTTTCTACAACTTGATTGGAGTCAACCTGTGGTAAATTCAATTGATTGGACATGATTTGGAAAGGCACACACCTGTCTATATAAGGTCACACAGTTGACAGTGCATGTCAGAGCAAAAACCAAGCCATGAGGTCAAAGGAATTGTCCGTTGAGCTCCGAGACAGGATTGTGTCGAAGCACAGATCTGGGGAAGGGTACCAAAACATTTCTGCAGCATTGGAGGTCCCCAAGAACACAGTGGCCTCCATCATTCTTAAATGTAAGAAGTTTGGAACCACCAATACTCTTCCTAGAGCTGGCCGCCCGGCCAAACTGAGCAATCGGGGGAGAAGGGCCTTGGTCAGGGAGGTGACCAAGAACCCGATGGTCACTCTGACAGAGTTCCAGAGTTCCTCTGTGGAGATGGGAGAACCTTCCAGAAGGACAACCATCTCTGCAGCACTTCACCAATCAGGCCTTTATGGTAGAGTGGCCAGACAGAAGCCACTCCTCTGTAAAAGGCACATGACAGCAAGCTTGGAGTTTGCCAAAAGGCACCTAAAGACTCTCAGACCATGAGAAACAAGATTCTCTGGTCTGATGAAACCAAGATTGAAATCTTTGACCTGAATGCCAAGCATCACGTCTGGAGGAAACCTGGCACCATCCCTATGGTGAAGCAAGGTGGTGGCAGAATCATGCTGTGGGGATGTTTTTCAGCAGCAGGGAGACTAGTCAGGAACGAGGGAAAGATGAACGGAGCAAAGTACATAGAGATCCATGATGAAAACCTGCTCCAGAGCGCTCAGGACCTCAGACTGGGGCGAAGGTTCACCTTCCAACAGGACAATGACCTTAAGCACACAGCCAAGGCAACGCAGGAGTGTCTTCGGGACAAGTCTCTGAATGTCCTTGAGTGGCCTAGCAGAGCCCAGACTTAAACCTGATCGAACATCTCTAGAGAGACCTAAAATAGCTGTGCAGCAATGCTCCCCATCCAACCTGACAGAGCTTGAGAGGATCTGCAGAGAAGAATGAGAGAAACTCCCCAAATACAGGTGTGCCAAGCTTGTAGCGTCATACCCAAGAAGACTCGAGGCTGTAATCGCTGATAAAGGTGCTTCAACAAAGTACTGAGTAAAGGGTCTGAATACTTATGTAAATGTAATATTTCCGTAAAAAAAAAAGAAATTAGCAGACATTTCTAAAAACCTGTTTTTGCTTTGTCATTATGGGGTATTACAGCTGCAAGTCTCTTGGTGTATGTCTCTATAAGCATGGCACATCTAGCCACTGGGATTTTTGCCCATTCTTCAAGGCAAAACTGCTCCAGCTCCTTCAAGTTGGATGGGTTCTTTAAGTCATACCACAGATTCTCAATTGGATTTAGGTCTAGGCTTTGACTAGGCCATTCCAAGACATTTAAATGCTTTAGCAGTATGCTTAGGGTCATTGTCCTGCTGGAAGGTGAACTCCGTCCCAGTCTCAAATCTCTGGAAGACTGAAACAGGTTTTCCGCAAGAATTTCCCTGTATTTAGCGCCATCCATCATTCCTTCAATTCTGACCAGTTTCCCAGTCCCTGCCGATTCAAAACATCCACACAGCATGATGCTGCCACCACCATGCTTCACTGTGGGGATGGTGTTCTCTGGGTGATGAGAGGTGTTGGGTTTGCGCCAGACATAGCGTTTTCCTTGATAGCCAAAAAGCTAAATTTTAGTCTCATCTGACCAGAGTACCTGCTTTCATATGTTTGGGGAGTCTCCTACATGGCTTTTGGCGTGTTTGCTTATTTTTTTCTTTAAGCAATGGCTTTTTTCTGGCCACTCTTCCGTAAAGCCCAGCTCTGTGGAGTGTACAGCTTAAAGTGGTCCTATGGACAGATACTCCAATCTCCGCTGTGGAGCTTCATGGTGCTGCTTGCTTGATGGTGCCCCTTGCTTAGTGGTGTATCAGACTCTGGGGCCTTGCAGAACAGGTGTATATATACTGAGATCATGTGACAGATCATGTGACACTTAGATTGTACACAGGTGGACTTTATTTAACTAATTATGTGACTTCTGAAGGTAATTGGTTGCACCAGATCTTATTTAGGGGCTTCATAGCAAAGGGGGTGAATACATATGTACGCACCACTTTTCCGTTATTTATTTTTTATAATGTTTTTTAACAAGTTATTTTTTTAATTTCACTTCACAAATTTTGACTATTTTGTGTATGTCCATTACATGAAATCCAAATAAAAATCCATTTAAATTACAGGTTGTAATGCAACAAAATAGGAAAAACACCAAGGGGGATGAATACTTTTGCAAGGCACTGTGTGTCATGTTTTGTGTGGACCTCAGGAAGAGTAGCTGCTGCTTTAGCAGTAGCTAAAAGGGATCCTAATAAAATATGAAATACTTACAGAGGACCATGTAGTGGTCTTATGGAAAGTTCTATTAGGAATTTATATTAGTAATTATAAAGTTATGTTAGGGATAGTAATTCAGCAGTCTGACATACAAAAACAATGGTCATACTGTATGTGTCGTTGGTTTGACCTGGACAAAATATTATCTTCATGTGCATTACAACTTTGTATGGGGTAAGAGCAAAGATTTAAATGATATGGTTGCGATAGCCAGGGGAATAAAAATAAAATTGATTGACTTTCAATTTAATACTTAATTAAAGGCCTACTTCAAAAAACTAAATCACAAAATATTTATATTTACAGTGTTGTTTTGTACAAATATCTTCACTTTAGATATCACCATGTAGGAAACAAAATTCAGCAACAGATATATTCAAATTGCATTCATTGTTCCTGAAAGTTGTTTCTAGTCGGAAATAATATTGTAGGTTTCAAACCATTGCTTCTAAATTTAAAGGTAAAAATGTGTCTTATCTCATCTTAAAATCTTGGTAAAATGTTATTATCAGTTAATTTAAGTATTCAACTAAATATATATTTCTCTATGATATCTCACAAAACAAATGTTTTAAACTAATTTAACAAATAGTCATGATATGAAAAAATTATCAAAATATAATGTAATACAATCTTGTCATGTTATTGTGCACTTCCTGTCAAATAATTCACACATGAAAAGTGAATGCTACAGTCCAGTGAAATCTCAGCAGTCACCTTAGGTAGAGTAGCCTAATCTGAATAGCCAGATTTGATTCCAGAAAGAGACACAATGATATTGTAAAACAAACAAAAACACAAGACAAAACTTCTGAACACAATGGGAGGGAAAATCCCACTGTCTTTATCCTCTGAGTATGGAGGACAACTTCGGATGCTAGCAGGGAAGCATCTCAAGGAATAGGCCATAGCAGCACCTAGCGTTGGCCCCAGTAATAACAATGCTGCTTTATAAAATGTCAGTTTTGATCTTGTGGGCAGTGCTAACAACCATGATCATTCTCCTCCATGCTTGAGCTGCTGCTACGCCTGCTGCTGCTGTTGGAGGTGTCTGGGGAAGCTGAGGACAGAAGGGGATCATTGGATGATATGGGCGACAGGGTGTTGTCCGTTAGAATGTCCTTCAGTTTAGTGGATGCTTTGCTGGAGCCATATGCCCCTGGGTCACCTGCATCCACAGGGCTGTCGTTAAAGTGGATGGTACCGTTGTTGAGGTCCAGTGTGGTGGGAGGGGACATGTCGGGACCTGGCTGCTGGTACAGGTCTGAGGGACAGTCTCCTAGGATGGGCTCCTGCTTGATGGCTCGGGCCATCAGCTCAGAGGAGCAGAGGGAAGACGACGGCAGAATCGCAAGACCATGAGCCCGCGCCTGCATCTCCAACTCCTACACAGAAACACACAGAAAACACATTAACCCAAGACTATTAAAGTACACATTCCAAAGAGTATTAAAGTACAGAAGTACAAAGGTTTTCCCTCAAGGCGCCCCTGTGCTATGCCCTCTGGACTGGCGTACCTGTATGCGCAGCATCAGATGGCGGTTGGCATGCTCCAGCCTCCTCTGTCTAAGCTCCACCTCCTTAGCTCTCTGCTGCTCCCTCTGCAGCTTCCTGATGTAGTCCACTGAGGCCTTCAGAATGGTGCCCTTATTCCAGCGCATGTCCCTAGGGACCGCAGGAGACAACACGCTACAACCAGTGCATACATGTAGCAACTAAGCAGCTGATCCTTAAACTGATTTTTGGTAGATAAAAACTATGAATATCCAAATGTGGTATAAACTGTGCTACTTACGGATCATTTGACTTAGGAATCAGGGTTCCAAGCTCTTTGATTCGATCGTTGATGTTGAACCTTCTCCTTCGTTCAACTACAGGGTGAAGAGACAAAAATAAGGAATCAGTTATAGTATCATGTGAGGACATCTGCAAATCAACTCTTGAAAAATACCAATGTATCCCAAAAAACTGACTGCTCCTCTTTGCCATAGAAACTCACTTAAGTTGTGGTTGTCCTTTTTTTGCCTCTCCTTGGCCATCGCTCGGACCTCAGCTTCTGGGCGGAAGGGAAACACTTTTGAGTGACAAAAGAAGGTGTCCTATTCCATACATACTCAAGATGATTACAACCATTTTCTAGCTAAATACCATTCATGTTACCCATTAGGTATCTTTGCTACAATTTTACTGAGACAGTATATAGATCCATATTGTGTGAAATTTTTCAATATACACAAAATACTTCACAGAGGCCTGTAATGCTGCATTTAATATTACAGACACAAAATATCCAATCTGAGATAGATTATAATGAATTCCCACTGGCATTTTAGTTCAGGTACATTAGTGAGCCGCCATGAAAATAGTTTCATAAATGTATTAAAAAAATTCAAATGAACAATGGCTTAAATATATGAAAATCTAGTAACAACGTACCAACTGGAAAGCCCTCGGGCCTTTGGTAGTTGTCAAACTGGCCATAGGATCCAGCATTGTCCAGTACGTGCATCATACCAGGAGCTGGAGTATTGGTACATTATTTGATCAATTTAACAGTATATTTATGCATTTTACAAATTGCACACAATATTTATGCATCTTTGCTTCTTTAACTGTTAGTATATCACTACAATGGTTTCAAAAATGGAATATAATCATCTTTAAATATTTTTGAATTTGAAAGGGTTGAAATAGTTAATATGGAGCTGCTTTGCTGAGGGTGTTGGGTAAATAATGCGTTATACCTGGTAGACAAAAAACATTTACCTGAGAATTCCCTTTTGATGTTGGATAAGCTACCAGGGCAGGAGTTACTGATGGCAAGTCCATTTGGGGGAAGCACTTGATTTCCATACATGTCCAGAAGGTTACCAGATACAGGGAGCTGAGGAAATGAACAGAACATTCAACCATTGCAATGCAATGTAAGAAAGATATTTATATTCTATAGCATAAAAATACGTAGTTCCTTTTCAGTAAATGTGTTGTAGGGCCTGTAGCTATTGCACTTAACACTTGAAAAAGTAGTTTAAATTGTAAAGGATGTCAACTTACTGTATTAGTAACCTGGAGTCCTGGGTCCATAAGTCCAAAAATATCCTCATTATAACTTGTTTCCAAGCTAATAATGTCATCAATGACATCGTCCATCTGTAATAATGATGAAAAACACATTAGAAACAAACCTATAGTACCAGATTTGTATTAAAATAATGTTCTGATAGACAACATTGAAAGAGGTACCAGAAATCTACATGTATTTTGTACCCAATTTGCCATATTCATGAAGTTAATTATAAATCCACTGTGAAATCCAAATGAGAAACCAGGGTGAATGGTACATTGGATCTCTGTGTCATCTCTGTTATGCCTACCTCCTTCTCGCAGTTGGAGCTGAGGGTCAGCAGGGCCATGGGGCTGTTGGGGGCACTGCTGCCTGGGCCGGGGGGCATCCCGTGCTCCGGGGGCTGGCTGGGGCACTGTAGGCTGCTGGCCTGGCTGCCAGGCTTACCCCCAAGGGTGGCAGACAGGTACTGCCTCACCTGCTTCCTCTGGGCCTGCTGGATGTGGTACTTGGTGGGGTTCTCCAGATGTGTCTGTACCTTGTTGGGGGAAAAGGAGAGACATGGAAGACGAATAACATTTTTAATAAGTTAGTTTTGTTCAATGTCAGTATTGAAGTAGTCATCTTATCCTATGTAAACGCATAGTTATCCACTGAAATGTGGCTTTGTAAAATGTTGTCTCACAATATAGATCTTTGAGATTGTGTGGATTGATCTTCAGACTAGAACGAATGCCTGAAGATCAATACATATGGATAAGACACAATCAGAAACAATGGACCAAATAATTTCAATCAGAGCCTCCAATTATACACCTCTATTTATATTACTCAATGACAGTCAATTATACAACACACTTGTCATTGATTAGGGAACATCTCTGTTATATTATTAGAATCTTCAGAACAAACATAGTACGTAATATACTATAAATATAGTAATACTGCATCCTGATAGAAAACCAAACCAAAAAAACAGTTCAGTAGCACATCTCACCTGGTAATGGCTGTATTCAAGCATCTCCAACATATTGTAATTTGTATGATAGTATGTATCAGATATTCCCTTGTTCTGGTCAGTCAACTGTGTGGACACAGGGCTAACATGAAAATAAGAGGACAGACTTGGTCACTTGAACTTATTAAAGGAAAACCCCTCATGAGTTATGTAAGTTAGGAGACAGGGGGAGGATACCAGAGCTCATCCTCCCTGTGTTGTGTTGTTCTAGTTAAACTGAGAATTGATGTCTTCACAGGGTTCATTTGACGTCAACATCTCCGTCTCACAAAGGACTCTTTCTGCTGGTGGGTTACTAGTCTCCAAACTGAAACTCGCTCACGGCTAACTAACGTTTCATCTTTAGTTCCGCTCATCTAGTATAAAACATAATTTGTTCTGAGAACACAGAATACAATTGACACCACTGTTCCATTACAAACAGAGAGTATGAAAAGATACATCCCAAAATGTAGCAGCATTTTAAAACAGACTGTCCATCCCCCTACCAACGTTTAGTGTTAAGTATTTAACTACTAGTCTCAGTGGTTCCCAAATGGTGTGCCAGGATCCACTAGTTAACTAAGTCATAGCGAGTTCCTACTTAGTCTACCGCTTAAGAGGCAACTAGGGTTAAAAAGCACAAATTCAGTCTAAAAATGGGCCACAGGCATGGCACAAAAATGGAATCGCTGCTGGCCTGAAACCTCTGGAATATAACATTACCAGAAACAAATATTACTGTTTAATTAGGAAGATTAATCTATGCCAAAGTTCAATAGTTGATCCAGATCACTAGGCCTGTATGCTATTAAAGTTCAACACTGCTTAGTGAAATTTGTTACATCTGTATTTCAGATGACACATGGCCATTCATGGTTCCTAAACCATGTCAAAGATGAATAAATAAGCAACACTATAAGTAGTAGTTGTATCTAACACAAGGGCCAACTGTACTGTATATAAATGAATCAGTTGAGATTCTTATCAACCGAGAATATTATCTCACCCTCACACCCTTCTATAGGAAGATAATTCGTTTTGACTGGTTTTGGTCTGTCTCTGCATGTGTATACAAGCTATGAGCGGAGTGTGAGTCTATATATGCCCACTGGGATTTCCACTATGCAAAAAACTAAGAAAGGATTAGCTAATTTATAGAACTATTCATTTTTAGTATAGAGAAACATGCTACTAAAATTGTAAAATAAAAATTAATAAAAACATTACATCCACAAATCGTTCCAAAAATCCTCATTAGGAACACCTGCCACCCTTTCCTCCAAAATCCTTTATCAGAAATGTTAAGCTCACAACTGACCATTCTATTCTAACAAAGCTGGCCCATTATTCTGGGGCAGTCATTTCGAATTATAACAGCAGGCGTCCTGCCTGGAGCCAACACGTGTGATGTTGCACACAACTCCTCTCTCTCCCTCTTTTTCTCACATTACTATTAGTAATTAGAGTTATCTCTTCTCTATCTACCTGACAAAGGTATATTATGTTACCACTCCTTGCACCCTTAAGCACATACAGTGGATGCCTAGATATATTGCTTCCACACAGGTCATAGTAATCAAGTTGTCGTACATTAAAGTATTGTATTGCTTGATTGTATTTCTTTAAAATATCACACAGAATGTAGATATGTGTGTGCAGACTGTGCACATACCAGCATCTATTGCCTTAGTTAAATAAAGGCTAACACCACACCCTCACCACTGACCAATCAGATCTACCTGACAAAGACTGTGTATATTGAGAATGAAGAAGGAACCCTTAGCAAAACATAAATACTCCACAAGGCACATGCTTGACCAGTAGCACTGTAAAATAATTAATCTGTCTTAAACGTCCTTTAAACATAGTAGCCCTTGGATATACAGTGGGGGAAAAAAGTATTTAGTCAGCCACCAATTGTGCAAGTTCTCCCACTTAAAAAGATGAGAGAGGCCTGTAATTTTCATCATAGGTACACGTCAACTATGACAGACAAAATGAGAAAAGAAAATCCAGACAATCACACTGTAGGATTTTTAATGAATTTATTTGCAAATTATGGTGGAAAATAAGTATTTGGTCAATAACAAAAGTTTCTCAATACTTTGTTATATACCCTTTGTTGGCAATGACACAGGTCAAACGTTTTCTGTAAGTCTTCACAAGGTTTTCATACACTGTTGCTGGTATTTTGGCCCATTCCTCCATGCAGATCTCCTCTAGAGCAGTGATGTTTTGGGGCTGTCGCTGGGCAACACGGACTTTCAACTCCCTCCAAAGATTTTCTATGGGGTTGAGATCTGGAGACTGGCTAGGCCACTCCAGGACCTTGAAATGCTTCTTATAGAAGCCACTCCTTCGTTGCCCGGGCGGTGTGTTTGGGATCATTGTCATGCTGAAAGACCCAGCCACGTTTCATCTTCAATGCCCTTGCTAATGGAAGGAGGTTTTCACTCAAAATCTCACGATACATGGCCCCATTCATTCTTTCCTTTACACGGATCAGTCGTCCTGGTCCCTTTGCAGAAAAACAGCCCCAAAGCATGATGTTTCCATCCCCATGCTTCACAGTAGGTATGGTGTTCTTTGGATGCAACTCAGCATTATTTGTCCTCCAAACACGACGAGTTGAGTTTTTACCAAAAAGTTATATTTTGGTTTCATCTGACCATATGACATTCTCCCAATCCTCTTCTGGATCATCCAAATGCACTCTAGCAAACTTCAGACGGGCCTGGACATGTACTGGCTTAAGCAGGGGGACACGTCTGGCACTGCAGGATTTGAGTCCCTGGCGGCGTAGTGTGTTACTGATGGTAGGCTTTGTTACTTTGGTCCCAGCTCTCTGCAGGTCATTCACTAGGTCCCCCCGTGTGGTTCTGGGATTTTTGCTCACCGTTCTTGTGATCATTTTGACCCCACGGGGTGAGATCTTGCGTGGAGCCCCAGATCGAGGGAGATTATCAGTGGTCTTGTATGTCTTCCATTTCCTAATAATTGCTCCCACAGTTGATTTCTTCAAACCAAGCTGCTTACCTATTGCAGATTCAGTCTTCCCAGCCTGGTGCAGGTCTACAATTTTGTTTCTGGTGTCCTTTGACAGCTCTTTGGTCTTGGCCATAGTGGAGTTTGGAGTGTGACTGTTTGAGGTTGTGGACAGGTGTCTTTTATACTGATAACAAGTTCAAACAGGTGCCATTAATACAGGTAATGAGTGGAGGACAGAGGAGCCTCTTAAAGAAGAAGTTACAGGTCTGTGAGAGCCAGAAATCTTGCTTGTTTGTAGGTGACCAAATACTTATTTTCCACCATAATTTGCAAATAAATTCATAAAAAATCCTACAATGTGATTTTCTGGATTTTTTGTCTTCAATTTGTCTGTCATAGTTGACGTGTACCTATGATGAAAATTACAGGCCTCTCTCATCTTTTTAAGTGGGAGAACTTGCACAATTGGTGGCTGACTAAATACTTTTTTTCCCCACTGTATACGCTTAACCGCAATAACATGTTTGTTCCACGTTTGTTTAACCATTGTACATGTTTGTTAAAGGCCCAGTGCAGTCCAAAGTGTGATTTTCTTGTGTTTTATATATACAGTACCAGTCAAACATTTGGACACACCTACTCATTCAAGGGTTTTTCTTTATTTTTTACTATTTTTTACATTGTAGAATAATAGTGAAGACATCAAAACTATGAAATAATACATATGGAGTCATGTAGTAACCAAAAAAGTGTTAAACAAATAAAAATATATGTTATATTTTAGAATCTTCAAAGTAGCCACCCTTTGCCTTGATGACAGCTTTGCACACTCTTTGCATTCTCTCAACCAGCTTCACCTGGAATGCTTGAGGTTGGGTGATTGTGGAGGCCAGGTCATCTGATGCAGCACTCAATCACTCTCCTTCTTGGTCAATTAGCCCTTACACTGCCTGGAGGTGTGTTGGGTCATTGTCCTGTTGAAAAACAAATGATAGTCCCACTAAGCGCAAACCAGATGGGATGGTGTATCGCTGCAGAATGCTGTGGTAGCCATGGTGGTTAAGTGTGCCTTGAATTCTAAAAAAATCACAGACAGTGTCACCATCAAAGCACTCCCACACCATCACACCTCCTCCTCCATGCTTCACGGTGGGAACCACACATGCGGAAATCATCCGTTCACCTACTCTGCGTCTCACAAAGACACGGCGGGTGGAACCAAAAATCTCAAATTTGGACAAATTATGGACCGGTCTAATGTCCATTGCTCATGTTTCTTGGCCAAAGCAAGTCTCTTCTTATTATTGGTGTCCTTTAGCAGTGGTTCCTTTGCAGCAATTCAACCATGAAGTCCTGATTCACGCAGTCTCCTCTGAACAGTTGATGTTGAGATGTGTCTGTTACTTGAACTCTGTGAAACATTTATTTGGGCTGCAATCTGAGGTGCAGTTAACTCTAATGAACTTATCCTCTGCAGCAGAGGTAACTCTGGGTCTTCCATTCCTGTAGCGGTCCTCATGAGAGCCAGTTTCATCATAGCGCTTGATGGTTTTTGCGTCTGCACTTGAAGAAACTTTCAAAGTTCTTGAAATGTTCCAGATTGACTGACCTTCATGTCTTAAAGTAATCATGGACTGTCGTTTCTCTTTGCTTATTTGAGCTGTTCTTGCCATAATATGGACTTGGTCTTTTACCAAATAGGGCTATATTCTACCTTGTCACAACACAACTGATTGGCTCAAACCCATTAAGAAGGAAAGAAATTCCACAAATTAACTTTTATGAAGGCACACTGTTAATTGAAATGCATTCCAGGCGACTACCTCATGAAGCTGGTTGAGAGAATGCCAAGAGTGTGCAAAGCTGTCATCAAGTTAAAGGGTGGCTATTTGAACAATCTCAAATATAAAATATATTTTGATTTGTTTAACACTTTGTTGGTTACTACATGATTCCATATGTGTTATTTCATAGTTTTGATGTCTTCACTATTATTCTACAATGTAAAAAAATAAAAAATAACCTTGAATGAGTAGGTGTGT